GTGTGATTTGCCACGATCGTCATAGTAAGTACAATATATGGTCTATTTTAGACCGCAGATATTTATGTAAATTCGATATTTGCCCGAATAAAATTATGTTATAAAGACGGAACTAGGGTACTTTAGGTAAACAGTTATTCCATCGACTAAATGTTATAGAGAGTGCCGTAGTTTGATTATTTTGTATATTCTTGTATATGGTATGTATTCTGTACATTTTCGTGACACTCTCTGAGATATAAGAATGTAAAAACGAATAATTGATATGAATGCGTTACACTCACCATAAGTATCTGGTACCCATCGAGACACATTACCAAGCTGAACGTCAGCACTTGCGCCAAAACAGGCAAATTAAATACCGATTCCAGTTTTCCACAATAAGATATGAGAGCTTGATGTTGTTGAACATACTTCTTAAAGACGGTGTAATATTTCTTTGTCGATGATCCTGAGAACAATTGTGGATTTGTTTCTCCCTTCTCTTTATTCGTTAAATCGGTCATTCGGGACATTTTATATTGCAGTATTTGAAATTGAGTAGCCAAGTGTAGATTCATGACGCATAATAGATTGTCGAAACAGAAATAGCCGACTCCAATATGGTACAATGTCAGGAGCTGTGGGTATATAAAGATTTCCATTAAGTTTGTTACTGGTATTAAATTTGATAATATTAAATATGTTGAGCATTAGGAAAAAGAAGCGATCCGGTACCTGTAATACGAATGTCATTTCATAGTATGGGGACATTGTCAGTGGTAGATCAATCCACATATTAAATAGAAATTCTCTGGCTGACTCGTTCCTTCCAATATTTTCTGGAATAAATACAGAATGGTATAATTCTTTGTAAATATTCAGTAGAAAATATATAGTATTGAAGAAAGTTCAACAATAATTCAATTAACCTTCTGAATCTGCCATAAATTACACTTAGATATTTTTGTGCTCTTTTGGATAAGAAATAAAAGAATAGAAATTCCAATTTAAGATTAAGTGACTTACCAATAATTGGACTAAGGGCGTAACAAATAAGGGTCGCTTTGGTGGTGAATATTACGAAACAAACAAAGACGGTACATTTGCGTTTGCAGTCTATATAAATCCTTTTCTCGTACTCATCGTAATTCTCGTGCCAAAATTTTCGTTGCGTATATGTGATTAAATGAAAAAGTTCTTGTTTATGCGCAAGCAATACGGTCATCTTCAGAAGAGGCATTAGGACCGCCAAAATGTTGCACACGTTGTAAAGGCAGGTCTGTAAGCACAGAGAATGTCTAGAAAATATAGAACTACGGATGGATTCTATTTCACTTGTGCGTTATATAAATCTTTTGCTAATCCAAATTAGATACGACAAACGAGAAAACAGGGCACAAGCCACGATATTACAAATTTATGAGAAAACAACCGTTTTATGGGAAAAACAAGTTTTTTCAAGAAATCTAGTACATTGTAATTGTGTTAAATGATAACCAAATTATGCTACAAGTTTTATAACTGTGTTAACATATTGTAAATCGCATAGTTCTTTTTATCACAATGTCTTGCATTTTATTCCAGAAATAATCAATGAATTTTGTTTTGCATATTGACTTATTAGCTTCTGTAACTTGAAATGAAACTGGAATATTACAGAAATTTAGTCCGCAACTGTATCGTTCATCGCGATTTATCTCCCTTCAAATATCTCGGTAAAGATAATTGTTCGAATACTTACACTCAGATCACCGAAAGAATAATAAATATCCGTAAGCTCTAGCCATAGAGCAAAGAGAATAATCGCGAACGTGTAAATCTGCGTAATAAGTCTGACGCGTCGTTCCGATTGGTTTTTCGACGTCCATAATCCAACGAGTTTCATAAAAGTCGATGTCAAGCTGATAGATATGTCGTGGCTCTTCAGAAATCTCATATCGTAATGCTAATATTCTGGTATGTTAGGACATTGAACTGGTACACTTGTACACGGTCTACATCGATTATTGCAACGTATTAGAGACGATCAGTCGCTTTGATGTATTGGCATCCTTTCATTCACCGATATCGTACTTTGTGTCTACTTTATTATTATCATTGATGCACCGTTATTTGATGTTTCGGAAAAGAAATGACGAGAAAGAACGAAAGAAAAGAAAGGAGCGAACGTTCGATCACGATAGCCCAGGATTACTATTCTTTGTTCCGAATGAACAACGAGTAGATGGGATCGATCGAGTTATACATTATTCCGAGGTTACGAGACCCTCTGTGAAATCGAAGTGCTGTTCGACAGCTGTTTCGTTTTGCCAAAGGAAAATTTATCTTGCTAAATTAGGCATACGACTTAAGAAAGTTGTCTACAATTTCCTTTGATAGAATCTACGAGGAAAAAACGTAGATCGCTTGATGCAGCGGCGGCGCGTTAAAGTGACGAAGATGATAAATGTCTTTTTTTTTTATCTTGTTTCTATGATTTGTGAAGGGTGTTGTGCAGATTCGGTGATATTCTAGCTATGAAACGAATAAAGAAATTTCAGCAACGTTTGTTCTTATGTCTGTGTGTGATGTCAGGTGCTTGTAATACGCAATAGAATATTATTGTCTACCTACTTGGGGTTTTTTTCCAATATATTTCATTGCGATATAGGAGTCTTTTTTATTTTGTCTTTCTATAACATACAAATATATCACTTTGATGCGAAACTATGTACTTGAAATTCCTTACTTTATGCGAAATTTCACGTGTATTTTAATTATCGTTCGACTGATTCCTTAACAATGTAAAGTACGACACCGCGGAGCTCAAAATCTGTGAAAAGCGAATAAACAATTTAGGCGTGTGATGATTTTAAACGTTCCTAATAAAATCGATATAACGATGGTAATTATGGTGTTTATTAGTAGATATAACAATGACGTTAGTTACTAATCCACCTTTACATAATTCGTATACTTGTCATTAAACAAGTTTTTCAGTATAAGAGAAAAAAATATCTTACCGAAACTACCATAGAATCTTTGATTAATCGTGGTTTAAATATTTACTTGCTTCGGTGATTATCAAGTGGAGCTTACATTTAGGAGCTTGCAAAAAATTTCTGAAACATTACAGCGTTTAACCAAATAGGAAGCTACATATTAATACGATTGTCACTTTGGCGACAGAAGATTCATTTCTCTATTGTTTTCGAGAGTTTGATTTGCAATATGCATAAACTGTCAAACTTTTTGTAAATAATGTTTCAGAATGGAGAAAAATGCCACTGTAGTGTTCAAAATCCATAATGGAATAGATAAAAATGATTATGTTAAAGGTAAAATTAGTTATTCAGAATTGAATCCTAAGTATTTTAAAGCGCGAGAGTGAACGAGACAACGAGATAGAGAGATAGAGAGAGAAAAGGAGTGAGTGCAATTAATATTATATCAGATTTGAGAAGTTATGTACGAGCGTTTGTTTTGACTGTAGGAATTAATTTTTACTAAGAAAGGTACATATTTACAGGATTTCCAACTATACGTGTTACGTCTGCGCTTACCCCGGTGTAAGTTTCCAATGACACAGTGAAGAATCCACAAGCAGTCAAACAAGAGGGTGTCGCGGACCTCATGATAACCAGTATTAAGTCCTTGCGTAATATTTTTCCAAATTGGTCCATCGGTAAGCGCGACCATAAGCTTTTATACGCGGCATTAGCTACGTTCGCACTATCTCGTATCAGACAATCGCAACTATAGGTGAACATCAGCAGTTGACACATGCAACCCGTTATATGAAAGGCGAAAGTAAAGCGTCTTGTGGCGGGAGCATCATCCTATAGATAGAGAACTAGTGAAATCATCCTTTTATAAAAATGAAAAATAGAATAGCTTAGAATTATTCTACCTGAAGTAGGAAAACGAAATAGAGTAATACTATACTAACCATAAGTATCAAATACCCATCGAGGCAGATTAATAAGCTGAATAGCGACACCTGTCCAAGTACAATTAAGTTGAATACATCTTCGAGTTTTTTACAAAAATCAGTGAGTGCTTGGTGCTGTTGAATGTAAGTCCTAAGCTTTCCATATCGATGTATACTGTACGATGACTTTTCCGAAACTTCATAGAATTCTGCACAGTCGTTCGTGTTGCACATATTTGTAAGTCTATGTTGCAAGATACGAAACTGTGCAGCAGCGTGTAGATTTAAAATGCATAAAATATTGTCGAAGCAATGGTAGCACACACCAACATGATACGAACATACAACCTGTAAAAATATCGATCGATTAAACACTAATTTCAAAGGGTCTATTAATGTCGTTTTATAGATAAAGTAATTGTTCATGAGGTATTTGTATCTTTACATTTACAAATAATTGTAATGTAAAATAATGTAAAACCTGTAGCATGAACATTAGCTCGAAATACGGTGTCATGGATAGATGACATTCGGGGAGCCACATGTTAAACGGAAGTATTCGCTCGGACTCATTTTTTCCATAGTTTACTGAAAAGTATGCCAAACAGATCTTCTATTTAATCATCGTAGTTTAGCCCTTCTTGCAAGCTATGAGTGATTACGATGCTGATAAAGTAATTCCAACAATTAAGTGCCTAATTGATCTTGGTGTGTAGTGTTATAAACGTTTATTTGAGTCTGCATCGATCGGCCATAGAGCCTGCTGGGCCATCGTTTGGCACTACGGCGATCTGGTGAGATTTATGACACGGTATTTACTATTAAGGCAAGGGAGACGGAAATAAAGAAGTTGAAAATACATGCTATGCGTCGAAGTCATTTTAACGTCGTTAATGTTTGCTTTGAATCACGTATCATTCGAATATTGGTAGAAAAAATCTGCCTCTCAAAAACACCAATCGTTTCTGACCGTGTCGTAAACCTCGCGTCACGTTGAATTTTTGCAGAGGTGCTTTGCCGAGATTTGTTCGGGAACCGAACTTATTTTACGTGCTTTTCCGTTAAAGCGTAAAGCTGGAAACGTACCTAGCAAAATTTATTATTTAAATTAATAACGTACGATCGTAACGAGTCAACATTTCTATTTATAGAGTGCCATTTATAGAAAGATAATATTCTATGTTAGTAATTATTTTATTCTCAAATATCTCACTTAGAAGTGGCCTCGCTATGAAACCGATAACCGTTCCCTGAGCGAAGAAAGTGAAGACACAAACGAAAATGGTACACGTACGTCTGCAGTTATCCACGATCATTTGCTCGTGCGAATCGTAATTCAAGTGCCAAAAATTTATTTTCGCATAATCGATTATGTCAAGCAGCTCTTCGTTATATATTAACAAAATGAAGATTTTGACCACAACTAGAACGATAGTTATAACGTTGCATATGACGTAAATAGAATCCTGTAACCGATATTTTATCGAGTTGGTTTCTGCATGAAAATTGTTCAAAGTCGATATAAAGAAAATTGCCGATTGCTCGATTTAATTCGTCTAGTTAAAAAATTAGATTCTCCACTTACACCAAGATCTCCCCAACTGAAGTACAAATCCCTCGCTTCGGTCGATAAGGAGAGGAGGACGGCGAATAACGTATAACTCAACGCAACGTTCCTGCGACGTTTTTCGACGTAATTATTCGCCAGCCAAAAACCAACGAATTTCATGTAGAAACTCGTGATGATGATAGACAGATCTTTGACTTGCCTAGAGCTCATACCGAGTGTTCTATGGTAGAATGCTTCGATCTTCGATTCTATCGAATGTTTCCAGCTTGTCTATTATCCATCCCGAAGGACACTAACGCGATGTTCCCGATCCCTTGATACCTTTCCGCTTTGTTGTCTGGCTCGTTTCTCCTTTTCTACTTCGTGGACAACTGGTTATTCTGAACGTCATAGTAATTGCGCGCGAAGAGTAAAAGCGGTGTCGGATCGATAAATTATGTATTATTCCAGGTAAACGATGAACGTTCGGACGTGACGACAATGTATTATATATCCGACAGTTCAAGAGATTTGTTTCGTGGAAGTCTCTGAAGAGCGTTGTGCGCTCGAATTCGATCATGGTTGCTGCTCTCGAGCATAACAGTGGAATTTGCGAGGATTGTTTGTAAATTGTTCCGTAAGTATCCATTTTTTTCTTTTTTGCGTGTTTTAGCGCTGCATGTCAAATACAAATTATGCCGAATGTGTCGATAACGTACAGGTCAATGGAAGGTGTACATCAAACTTGTCACCGACTTAAGACACGATCGTTACAATTACCGATGTTGCGCGGTTAGAAATGGAAATAGGCTATACTTGTATTAGTAGTATTTTTAATTTTGCGTTGCCTTGGAAAAGTGTATAATATATTCGATATGCTGTGTGTAGAATGGAGGGAAAGAGTGGAAGATCGGTGAAAGAGTGTATCCAATCGTATTCGCCCTCGTGACGTACGATCGGGGATGATAGATCGATGATCGATCGATCGAGTATTAAAGTTTATTCGCAACCATTAAAATATTTTTATTATCTAAATTCATGTTTATACTATGAATTATTTATTCTTCATTTTCAAAGACGATTTCCTTATGAGCGTAAAGTATGACATTGTAGTACTCACAAGCTGTAATATAAAATTTTAGTGTTGTCATAGGATTCGTCCAAAAATTTATATGTTTCTGGTAATGCGTTGCAAAAAGCGATATTTGTAGGATGAGCGGGATTAAGTAAGAAATGGAAAGATACAGGAAAGAATCCACCAGCGGTCAGATAGCATGGTCGCGTTGATTTCATTATCATCATCTTCGCGTCTTCTCGTAACATTCTGCCAGTTTAGGTCATTGGCAAAGTTGTCCACCAGCTTGTACGTTGCCAAGCTAATATTCGAACTTTCCTTCATTAAGCCGTGGCAAGTGTACGTGAAGAAAATGATATGGATAAAGTTGCCGAACATGTGGAACACGAAAATCAGTCGTGTACCAGGGGATGCATCTGCCTGTGTACATAGTATAATATATTCGTATTTAAATCAGACGATTCCGATACAGCTATTAAATATATTTAAAACGAACGAATATTTGTTTTTTTCGACAAACGAATGAATCTGTGCAAGTTTGAGGAGGTTTAATGCGAGAAATATGTGTATCTCAAAAGTTGGACAAACATAAAACGAGACGAACTCACACGTGCGATTTAACGATTTTAATATAAGAGTTAAACGATGAAATTTGCGGTAATTGTGTTTCTGCGTATTTAAAAAAATAGAAAAACAAATCCGATGTTCGCACGTACCAAAAGTATCTCGTCCGTGTCGAAACACATCAGCAAGCTAAAGATGATTATATGGCCGAAGATCGGAAACCTATAAACATATTCGAGCCTTCCGCAGAATTTGATGCTGCCGAATGCATTTTTTCAACGCTATGTAGCACTTGTCGGCGTAATCGATCTTATCCGTTTGTTTCCACAGAAAAGCCTGTTATGGAGCATACGGAATTGGCAGATCACGTGCATATTCAGTATGCATAAGAAGTTGTCGCAGGCCATATAGGCTACACAGATTTGTTGCACAGACGCTAGCTGTGTAAATAGTGATTTTCCATAGTAAAATCATAATTGTGCTCGCTAGGTTTTCACCTTCTTCGGTGAATATTACAGCGCTATTTACTTAATTCCTAATTACTATCGAATATGCTCGCTAATTAGACACTGTCGTGTTTCACGGACTTAAATGGAGATACCTGAATGACGAACATTATTTCGTAATACGGTGTCATGTATATCGGCAGATCGACCCTATTAGAATTTAATCTTGGAATTAAGATTAATAATCTGTGGAAGACACAATGTTTGTGTTGAAATAATACAATGTGATATTTATTAAACAATTATTTCAAGAATTATAAATGTGCGTTCTGGAATGTAGACAGTTGGCTAGTTATTCACAGACCAACTGGCTTAGTGACCCATGGTCCTTGAAAAGGTTTAGAGCCCCACTCTCCATGCAGTAATGAGTGTAACCTGTGTGGGTGTCTGTGTGGCGTCATATGTGGCACAGAACCTTCTTGTAGTTTCCCGACGTGCCCATCTAGAATGTTCCGTCCATATCCTCACGCTTTTTCCGGCGAATTTTTCGAAAGAGCATGCACGTGCTAGCCGCCGTGGTGCATCTCACGAACGCACGCTAGTGGGGATGGCGCTGGGCAACCAAGGGAAGAATCCGTACGATCAATTACCTTACCTGCATGCGATTGATATCGCGTGTATTCCAACAGACCCACATTGCGACCGGAAGTGTCCTCTCCGAGCCACTGCTTCTAATGTTCGCTGAAATATAGCGAAACACGAGTTTCTGTTTTGTAGTATCTTTCTGGTTATTACAAATATTTGTTTTAAAATCAGCTTTCGCTAGAACGAGTTTAGATTTTTATCCAAACGAGACGTTTATTTCTTACTTAGATCGTTAATTTATCTCTTCAATTTCCATAACTTAGGAACAAACAACAACTTATCGTGATTTGGGAAATTTCTTTTCTTATCGTTTTATAACTTATAGATTGTTTTACTATATGTTGATGAAAGTAAATGTGAAAAATGGAGTATTATTCTTCTAGTGCGAAATATTGATGTTTATTCCATTATTTCGAAAATTATTACTTTCTTTCTGTAGAAAAGAAGCTTTATTTAATCTTTTGATCGATGAATTAACTTACCGCAGATTGGTGCGACTGCATAGAAGAAGACAATAATTTGTATAACAAGCATTATAAATAGCGACCACAGTTTGCAAACTTTCTTGCATTCCGCGAAAAGTATCTTCTCGTCGAGATCATAATTCAAATGCCAAAAATGCTTTTGGGCGTGTACAATTATATAAGAGAATTCCGTTTTATAAAGGTTTATCATCGAAATTTTGAACATCGCTAATATCGTGTTCAATACGTTGGCTGCCAGAAAGATACAATGCTGAAAAAATGATTCTAATAAATTGCAATAAATGATCGATGGAAAGTGATGTTTAACATTTAATTGTTACGACTTGCTATGTAAAGAGCAGTATTACGATTGAGTAATACTTTTACAGTTAGAAAATTTAAGTTAAAGGAATATTTAAAATAACATTAGACAAACGCTTCTAAATGATCCAATCTGCAATGAAAAAATGTCTTTAAAGTTCTGTAACGATATTTAATTCCGTATAATATATTTCATCCAAATAACTGTACTATTGATTTACCAACACGCAGTACAAGTAAGTACTTATACGCAGTTTAATAGTAACGTTAAAATTTATACAAAAACGGAGAAAATTTTTTACGGGGGTTACTTATTTTCTTACTCACGTCCAAATCGTTCAAATTGTGACAAATATCCGCGACGTTCACGTACATGCTATAAACGCTTGTAATCATGGTATAGAATACCGCGAATTGTCCTTGCCTATCTTCGGTTTTGTTCGCCGATTTCCAAATACCCGCGATTTTCAGCAGCAACCGTGATATTTTAATGGATATATCTGTGTATCGTTCGGTATGCATGACAATCCTTTCTTCTCAATCCTGATTCTAAAATCACTCAATAGATAGTAAACTTAGCAGTACCAAGTGGCATTTTGATCTGCCTAGACACTCAATATTTCGTGGTAGATACGTGGCTTACCTAAGCAAACTTTTGACGACCAGAAAACGAATATGAATATTTTATTCCTGACGCAATAAGAGCATAAAACGATAAAGAATAATAGAGTTGTCGATCAAAGAGAAACCGTTGCGCACTTACATTAAAATTTCCCCAAGGAAAAGCGCTCCGACCGCGTAGATCAGCACGAAATCTCTGCGACCTTGTTCATTTCGAATCGTCGCTAGCCACAGGTCTACGATTTATATGGAAAAACATGCACAAATTATTGAGATGTCGTGATTCTGCATCATTCGCGCGGTGAACATCGAATAATCGAAGCAAGGGAGATGTAGTATCGCATCAATTATAACCAATCGATTTTTAACGAGACGCTCTCACGATTTGTGTCTACGCCAATCAAAAATTCGCGTAGTTGCCTGTAACGTGTCCTGTTCTCGTGTGAAGTGTAGGCGTTGCAACGTAATCGAAAATGCATTATTCACGATTCGCGGGTGTTTGAATGGAACAAGTAACCATAGAAAGAACGAGGAACGATCGTGACCGTGCATAAGATGGCCTGCAATTCATTTCACTCGTTTTAAGCGATGGAAGAGTGCTTTGTCTCGTGGCTCCATGGAACTCTTACGTTTGCCCAACGTAATATCGCAGCTCAAGTTGCTGCAGAGGATCCGAGGGGATAAAGTTTGTGCTTGAATTTATTCTGAAAATTTTTCGTCAATTTTTCAAATGCAAGGAAGATTACGTCGCATAAAAGGATTCTATTCTTTTTTAACGCGAAATCAAGGAACTTGTACGTTCACTGATATCATTAGATAATATTAAATTTTTTCTTATAATTATGTAGATATAAATAGCGACATTTATTTGCAAATATTAAAATATTTCCATTGCGCAAGTCCGTGCATTTATGGTTAACTATTCCGCTGCTGCTTTTATAGATGATTCTCTCATGAGAGTGAAGTATGACATCGTCGAGCTTATAAGCTGTAACAAGAAATTTTATCAAGGTGTTTCACAATTTTCCATGTACATACGTATTCCACTATAATTACAGATATGTAAAAACGTGTACGTAATAGGCAGAAATGCAAAAATATGACGCGTACAGTATCGTAAGTAAAATTTACGGCACGTAATTTCCAAGATACCACATACGTGATTTATATTCAAATTTTGCTTATTTAAGGACAAAAAACGGTTACATATCGTACCGGATTGCAAGATGTGGTATTTTTAGAGTAAATGGAATTAAAAGAAAGAAATTGCTGCATACCGCGGTAGATGTTTCCAAAGTGACGGGAAAGAATCCTCCGGCGGACAGATAACACGGTCGCATCGATTTCATGATCATTATCCTCGTATCCTTCCGTATCTTCCTGCCTGTTTCGGTCATTGGAAGAATCATCCACCATCCTGAATACGATGCCGTGCTAATATTCGTGCTTTCCTCTACTAAACCATTGCAGATATACGTGAAAAAAATGATGTGGGTAAAACTGCCGATCATGTGGAAGAAGAAAATGAGTCGTGTCCCGGGAGATACGTCCGCCTACGTACAAATTTTTTAAGTGACCACCGTAAGCAATATAGCTTTTATTTTTCATCTGGTAGGTGCCGAATAATAGTAAAACGTTCTTGTCTAATTTTATTAAATTGTTAATTTGAGAAATATGGCGTATCCACGATAGCTTTTTAGATAATTCGTTTTAAATCGCTCACACGTACCAGAATGACCTCGTACGTGTCGAAATACATCAGCACGCTAAAGATAACCATGTGGCTGAGGATCGGCAGTGTGTAAATGTCGTCGAGTTTAGCGCTGAATTCGATCAACGATTGATGTTTTGGGATGCATTTTTCCAACATTACGTAGCATTCGTTCGAGTACTCGACGATATCTGTTCGCTCGTCGATGTTCGACCATAGATTCACTAACGTGTTCTGCAGCATACGAAATTGGTAGACCACGTGTAGATTTAGCACGCATAAGAAGTTGTCGGGGCATATATAGCTCGCGCCAATTTGTTGCACGGCCAGTAACTGTGTATGTAAATAGCAATTAATCATAGAGTCATCGGTGACAAGTTATTACGATTGCTCGCAGAAGAAGCGGTCAGCCTCGTACTCCTGCGACTCGCTTAACATCGGCCTCCACGATCGCCGAGAGAGGCAATCTCTCGCCTATGACGTGACAGTAGTCACAGATGTCCGCTGCCCCGCTCCGATCTTCATCAAATACTCGCTGAGCACGCCGTGCCCCGCGAACACCTGGGTCATCCTGTAGGCATGGTGTTACCTGGGCAGCGTCTAAGGCTGTCTCGCTCGCGTATGCCCCAGTACGTATGAATCATCATAATAACAAGTGTTGCGTTAATTCATTCTTTCCTATTGCTATTCGTAACACCATTCTGGTACGAAGGGCGCAAAAAGGAAAAGGTTGATTGCTACCCTTTGGCATAGACGGAAAGACACATAAAAGATGTATTCGTCAATTACGCATTTGTTCGCTGATCAATTTCTCTTACATTATTGACAGAAATTTGTGCGTATTACACTGTCATTATTTTCTACTCTACCGATGCAATGCTTTAAACCACCTTTAACTCTCGAAAAAATATACTATAGCTGGATTATTTGACAAGACGGTTGGTAGAAGGATACGAAGGCAAGTAGTGGATGTGAAAGTTCCAATTGAAAGTACCGAATAGTGGTTCTTATAAAAATAATAAGAAATTTATACACACTTGTTCGCGTGTTCGTGTTGTAGAAGAACACCGAGCGGCAATATGCGACCGAATGGATTTATGAATATGGATTATTTTGATGATTCAATATGAGTGTAACTCGACTTTTAAGCGTCAACGTATAACGAATCCAATTTCAAATGCAATTTTCATTATTTTTCATTGTAGTTTTATTTCACTTTGCAACAGCACCCCTTACATACTTTATCATCTGTTACTAGTCATTCTGTATACTTGCAATTGAAATATATATATTACGAATTGAGGGTCTCCTGTGTAGTTTGTCTTAACAGTGTGAAATATGATACCGCAGTACTTAAAACCTGTAACAATAATACGTATAAGCAACAGATATCCGACGTGTATTTTTTGTACTTTTTTACATTTTCGTACACTGTACAGTTTTACGCAGTCAAATTTATCAATCGCTGCAATTCCGACAAATGCCACGACATTTCAATTACCCGAGTGTATGTCTCTAGAGACACGACGAAGAATCCATAGCCTGTTATGCAACAAGGTACGCCAGATCTTATAGTAACGAGTATCAAGTCTTTTCGCATCATCATACCGCTTTCGGTTGCAGGCAAAAATGACCAAGGTCCTTTATACACTGCCAAAGCTACGCTCGTGCTTTCTTGCATGATGCAGTCACAGCTGTAGGTGAACATCAGTAATTGGCATAGACAGGCTATTAATTGGAAGCTGAAGATGAAACGTGTTCTGGTAGGTGCCCCTGGCTGCGAAAAGATGCGTTATTAGCGCGTAAAAGCTTGTCTGAAGTATGAACAGTGCTCATAATTTTTAAATGTTCGATATAGACACTTTTTACAGACGACGTGTGATTTGCCACGATCGTCATAGTAAGTACAATATATGGTCTATTCTAGACCGCAGATATTCGATATTTCCACGAATAAAATTAAAAAGACGGAACTAGGGTACTTTAGGTAAACAGTTATTCCATCAACTAAATGTTATAGAGAGTGCCGTAGTCTGATTAGTTTGTATATTTTCGTATATGCTATGTATTACGTACGTATGTACATTTTTGTACTTTGTGCATACAGAGTTCGTGACACTCTCTGAGATGTAGGAATGTAAAAATGAATAATTGATATGAATGCGTTACACTCACCATAAGTATCTGGTACCCATCGAGACACATTACCAAACTGAACGCCAGCACTTGCACCAAAACAGGCAAATTAAATACCGATTCCAGTTTGCGACAATAAGCTATGAGAGCTTGATGTTGTTGAATATATTTCTTAAAGGCGGTGTAACATTTATTTGCCGATGATCCTGAGAACAATTGTGGATTTGTTTCTCCCTTCTCTTTATTCGTTAAATCGGTCATGCGGGACATTTTATATTGCAGTATTTGAAATTGAGTAGCTAAGTGTAGACTCATGACGCATAATAGATTGTCGAAACAGAAATAGCCGACTCCAACATAATACAATGCCATGAGCTGTGAATGTATAAAGATTTCCATTGTTTTGTTACTGGTATTAAATTTAACGGTATTATATACGTTGAGTATTATGGAAAGGAAATAATTCAGTACCTGCAACAGAAGTGTTATTTCATAGTATGGTGTCGCTGTCAGTGGCAAGTCAATCCACATATTAAATGGAAGCTCCCTATCCGATTCGTTCCTTCCAATATTTTCTGGTATAGATACAGAATGGTATAATTCTTTGTAAATATTCAGTAGAAAATATACAGTATTTAAGTTCAAAAATGGTTTAGTTAGCTTTTTGAATCTGCCATTGATTATACTTAGATATTTTTGTGCACTTTTGGATAAGAAATGAAAGAATAAAAATTCCAATTTAAGATTAAATGACTTACCAAGAATTGGACTAAGGGCGTAACAAATAAGGGTCGCTTTGGTGGTGAATATTACGAAACAAACAAAGACGGTACATTTGCGTTTGCAGTCCATATAAATCTTTTTCTCGTCCTCATCGTAATTCTCGTGCCAAAATCTTCGTTGCGTATATACGATTAAATGAAAAAATTCTTGTTTATGCGCAAGCAATACTGTCATCTTCAGAAGAGGCATTAGGACCGCCAAAATGTTGCACACGTTGTAAATGCGGGTCTGTAAGCAGAGAAAATGTAACCAAAATGTAGAACTGCGGATGGATTCTATTTCACTTGTGCGTTATTCAATTTAGGTATTACAAACGAGAAAACAGAGCACAAGCCACGATATTACCAATTTATGAGAAAACAACCGTTTTATGGGAAAAATAAGTTGTTTCAAGAAATCTAGTACATTGTAATTGTGTTAAATGACAACCAAATTATGCTACAAGTTTTATAACTGTGTTATCAAATTGTAAATTGTATAGTTCTTTTTATCACAATGTCTTGCGTTTTATTCCAGAAATAATCAATAAATTTTGTTTTGCATTTTGACTTATTAGCTTCTGTAACTTGAAATGAAACTGGACTATTACAGAAATTTAGTCCACAACTGTATCGTTCATCGCGATTTATCTCCCTTCAAATATGTCGGTAAAGATAATTGTTCGAATACTTACACTTAAATCATCGAACGAATAGTAAGTATCCGTAATCTCTATCCATAGAGCAAAGAGAATAATGGAGAACGCGTAAATCAGCGTAATAAGTCTGACGCGTCGTTCCATTTGGTTTTTCGACGTCCATATTCCAATGAGCTTCATAAATGTCGACGTCAAGCTGATAGATATGTCGTGGCTCTTCAGAAAACTCATATCGTACTGCTAATATTCTAGTATGTTAGGACATTGAACTGGTACACTTGTACACGATCTATGTCGATTATTGCAACGTATTAGAGACGATCAGTTGCTTTGATGTATTGGCATCCTTTCATTCACCGATATCGTACTTTGTGTCTACCTTATTATTATTATCATTGGTGCACCGTTATTTGATGTTTCGGAAAAGAAATGACGAGAAAGAACGAAAGAAAAGTAAGGAGCGAACGTTCGATCACGATAGCCCAGGATTACTATTATTTGTACCGAATGAACAACGAGTAGATGGGATCGATCGAGTTATACATTATTCCGGGGTTACGAGACCCTCTGTGAAATCGAAGTGCTGTTCGACAGCTGTTTCGTTTTGCCAAAGGAAAATTTATCTTGCTAAATTAGGCATACGACTTAAGAAAGTTGTCTACAATTTCCTTTGATAGAATCTACGAGGAAAAAACGTAGATCGCTTGATGCAGCGGCGGCGCGTTAAAGTGACGAAGATGATAAATGTCTTTTTTTTTATCTTGTTTCTATGATTTGTGAAGGGTGTTGTGCAGATTCGGTGATATTCTAGCTATGAAACGAATAAAGAAATTTCGGCAACATTTGTTCTCTTACGTCTGTGTGTAATGTCAGTTGTTTGTAGTACGCAATAGAATATTGTTGTCTACGTATTTGGGTTTCTTCTGGATAAAGGAGTCTTTTTTATACTGTCAATAACATTCAAACGTATGACTTTGTATGAAGCTATGTTTTTGAAATTCCTTGCTTTATTCGAAATTTCAGTTATATTTAAATCACCGTTCGACTGGTATCTCAACAATGTAAAGTACTATGACACCACGAAGCTGAAAACTGCGAAAAACGAATAAACAGTTTAGGCGTGTGATGATTTTAAACGTTCCTAATAAAATCTGATATAACTATGGTAATTATAGATAGGGATTATACTGGGAAGTGAAACTTTTATTGTTAGGATTGGAATCGGATATTCTCTTCGTATAAAGTCGAGCAAATAATTTAACACTAGCAATTCGATGTCGCCTGCCTTGTAAGAGAGTCATCTTTATTCTTGTATAAATTTAGTATTTGTTCAACAAATACCAATATTATACTATCTTTGATCTGTCATCTATTATCGCATTGGACGTCCTACGTTTATAATTTTAATTAGTGAAAGATTGTCTCATTAAAGTGAAGTATGACATCGCGGTACTCAGCACCTGTAAGAGGAACATTTATTTATTATATTTTCATATTTCATAAAGAAATTGCGACTTTTTGTAAGAATATGTTTGGATGTTTCATAAAATAACGTATCGCTTTTTTCTATATTCTTTACTTTTTGGTAATTTTAAGAAAACAGCTCCATGAAACGGAACGAAATGAATAAACGAATAAATTATAACCGAATGCATTGTAAGAATAATAATAATAAGAACCTTGGTACAAGTTTCCAGAGAGACAGGAAAGAACCCGCTGGCAGTTAAGCAGCAAGGCTTACTCGATCTCAGGATGATCATTGTCAAATCTTTTCGTAGTAATTTCCCAATTTTGTCCATCGTTAGATGGGTCCAGGGGCCAGAATAAACAGCAGTGCCAATATTCGTGCTTTCTCGTATCAGAGTATCGCAACTGTACGTGAACAGCAATAACTGGCTGGAACTGCCCACTATGTGGAATACGAAAATCAGTCGCCGTGTAGGAGGTGAATTTGCCTGCATGCACATTAACGAATGTAACCGAACGATTTAAAGATTATAACGAAACGGTAGTGGCAAGCGTAGAATAATAATAACAAAAATTTGGAATGTAAACGGAGAATAAAACGGCTGTTTTAGGGAGAGTAGTCCATGTTTGCTAATATGACTACGGAACAGGATAGGATAACTATAATGTTTCGTACACGACGCGAAAAAGGAAGCATAAACTACTGCTTTGGAAAGCTAGGAATGGGTGATTATTTACGTTTTTTATCATAATGGAAAGTACTTACCATAAGCACCTGGAAACCAACCAGACACAGTAAAAGGCTAAAGACAACTATGTGTCCAAGAACGATGTACGTAAATATATTGTTTAGTCTCTGACAATAATTAATTCGATCTTGATGTTCTCTAACGCAACATTTAAATACCGTGTGATAATTTTTCAAGTAATTTGATGGCAAGGTCTCTTTGATAGCGTACTCGTTCGGTTGCTTTTCAATCGTTTCACCCAAGTACAACAACCTGTATTGTAATATACGAAATTGAGTGGCCGCGTGCAGATTTATCAGACATAAAAGATTGTCGAAACAAATGTAACATATACCAACGTGGTACAAAGAGAGAACCTGTATAAACATAAGAGTTACGTTGTGTCGTACAATGTTTTGCTCCACGGAAAGCGATATTTTTCACGAGTCGAGCAAATAGACGAGCAAGTAAAACGCGTGTTTATGTATGTACCTGAAGCACGAATAGTATTTCATAGTATGGTGTCACAGTCAATGGTAGATCGAGCCACATTCTAAATGGCAGAACTCTATCCGAATAGTTTCTTCCAATGTTTTCTAAAATATAAACGTACAATTCTATACTTCAAAGGGACGGTGCTTTATCGTTTATATACCTTTGATATTTATGAAACAAAGAGATTTTGGCGTAGAGTTTGGCACTTTTCATAAACAGGAAATACATCGATACTGCCACTTGAATCGATACACGTACCTACGATAGGCGTTAGCACGTAGCCGAAAACCGTGCCTTGAGCACAAACATTGATCAAAGAGATACACACGATGGAAATCTTTCTACAGTTTTGCAACAACAATAGCTCGTTGTAACTGTAATTCGTGTGCCAAAAATTCTTGTGCGTGTACACAAGCAGCTCGATGAATTCTTTCTTGTGTATAAATACGACGGATAATTTTAGCAATACCATAATAAGGCATAAAATATTGCAAGCCGTGTAAGCACAATCCTGCGATTAAAAAATCGTAGAAACGGAAACGCTTGAAGAATTTAAGAAGCGCAAAAAAGGTCGTTACTGGTAAAAAGAATATTTATATACTCACGCCAAAGTTCGGCCACGAGTAGTAAAAGTCCCTGAACTGCACCCACACACCGAACAGGATCGCGACTACGGTGTACATCAAAGTTAACTGACGTGTACGTTCTTCTTCCTTGTTCTTTGTTAGCCAGAGACCGACGATTTTCATTAAAAAACCCGTCATCAGCAAAGCAAAATCTTTGGTGTACGACGCTTCGTTCTCTCGCTTCAAACAAGCCGGCGTAGGACTAACTTTTGTCTTTTCTGAATCTTTATCCATCTTGTCTCCTATTCTTCTTCTTGACACTGACGGACAAGTACCTATTCTTTCCTTCTTATTTTCATTTCGTGGCGTGAAAAGATATCGTGATTATTCAAGGGGTACGGAGTAGGTCGACACGTGCAACGTGTATGTATAATTAAAGAGAGACAGACCTGTGATCGGCTGTTAGGTAAAAAGGGAGTAGACGCTGCATTGTGCATCGAGCGTTGGCGTCTTGCACGTCACGTGGCGACGGAGTCTAGGGCTGCTGCGATCGACGATAAGCTTTCCAACTTTTTTACAACAAAGAGTCACGATCAACGATACCACACAGCTGATGGTTATGTAAGCTATTGTACGTTTTTATATTAATATATAAGTCCTCCTAGTAAAAGCAACTCTTTTCGCTTTTTGATAGCCGTCGTGCGCTCGGTAGAAAAATCACAGCTATTGGTTTAACTATTTCTTAAATGTAGACAATGCCTTAGATCGTTTTAGATATAGACGAAAGGATACTTAAAAATATTCAAGCTATTTCCACGTTTCACTTATAAAATTCGTAATACATACGAGGAAGAAAGAGACGGTACGCTTTGATTTAAAATCAAAATAACGTGTTTAAAGAGTAATCATAAAATGGATGACATGGTATTCGAGAAACATTTATTGCGATGTTATAGTAATATTAAATGTATCAAACTTACTCGTAGTAAAGATACGTTTAGAAAATAACAAACCCGATACAATATATAGCACTACGTGTAAATCAGTCTTGCCATTTCACGATCAATTACATGTGCAAAGACTCGTGGAGAAATAGAATCTTGGGAACAGTGTATTATCCCTTTTTATTTAAACACCAAGCAACGGTGCCGTTTGGCACCTTCGAATCGAACGAGCCCTGTAATTTATATTTTTGCTATTAACGACAAATGTACAAGTTATGAATTTGTTGCATCCAGAGATGTATTCCTTAGCAGAGTGAAATATGACATTGCCGTACTGAGAACCTGTAACGAGTGAATAATTACAATTCAACGATTATATAGAAAAATCGTAACGGAGATACAACGAATTCGATTACCCCGGTAAACGTCTGCAGCGAAACAGGAAAAAATTTTCCAGCTGTTATACAGCAAATCTTGTGCGATCGCATGATAATAATTAGCAAATCTTTTCGCACAGTGGCACCAGCTTCGTTCATTGGAAGGATTGGCCATGGTCCTGAGAATGAAGCATTGCCGACATTGACACTTTGCCGCATCAAATCATCGCAACTATACGTGAACATTAACAGTTGACACAGAACGCCACACAAATTCAATACCAAACTGGCCTTTTTTGAGGTAGGTGTGTCCACCTATGGGAACACGATATAATCGATATAAAACTAATAAAATGGTTTTGGAAAACATTTTGTTTTGCAAATTTAAAATGCAGGTGTATTGGAAATTTCAATAATACAGATGGAGTTCTCTACAGAAATCGATTAAATAATTCTGATTGATCGAAATAAATTAAAAAGAAGAAAAAATTTTCTCCATTTTTTCGACAATATACATTTGACTCTACTGATTTTCTATACACGCGGGATCGGAATCTTCGAATTCAAATGAGAGGATCGTGGATGTTAGCGGATAACGGTGGAGTGGTAAATGTATAGTTAACGTATCCGGCTACAAAGTCCAAAGGATTTCGTAAAACTTACAGATAAGAACTACGTACGCAAGGCTGCAACACGTACACATACCAAATAATATAAGACAATCATTGTTACAGTTATATTACAGTTATAGTTATATGTTGCATTCGCTGCATACATTCGGCCCAAAGAGTCGCGGTTTCGGTCTCTCGCTGTGGAAGCTCGGCCGAGATGGAAAGGCGAGCGATCGAAAATCGCGTGGCTGTGTCGAGCGAAAAAATGGGGAATGCGATTCGGGACAATATACACATACGAGATTGAAAAAAGAAAAGGAAAGTAAAAGAAGAAAACGAAACGTTAAGAAGAAAATGAAAATTCAAAGGCGAATGTCAAAGCAGGATAAAGGTAAATCAGGATTAGCTGACAACGAGCGTAAAGCCTCTCCAGAACGAAAAGCAGAGAGGATCGATCGTGGAATAGAGATATTAGCGAACGGTAATGGCACAATAATCGACAAAAATCGACTGATTTTGAGTTCCGGCACGTCGTTGCTCTTCCGTGTTTACGGTTACTACGTATATTTTTTAACGCGAAACGTTTCCTAATAACGACGTAGAAAGATAACTTTGGACGTAAGTAACTGGAATAACTTGTAACGAGGCGACTTCTTAAAATATCTCGCTCGATAAAATATCTCAAAAAAATAACTCACCAGGAGTAGTTGAAATCCCACGAGGCATATTACCATGGCAAGAAACATTACCTGGGCAAGCACGATCAACGTAAAGATATTTTCCAACTTTTTGCAATATTCGATAAGCATTTGATGCTGTTGTACGCAATTTCTCAACTTTGTGCAACACATATTTGTATAATACGATAATCTTGCATCCGATTCGTATTCTTCTATCTGATTCTCCGTCGCGTTATCTATGCTTCTCAGCCTATGCTGTAATATGCGAAATTGGCTGGCCACGTGAAGATTAACGATGCATAACAAATTGTCGAAGCAAATGTAACACACACCGACATGGTACACACAGAGTATCTGCATAAATAAAAATCGGTTTCATCGAATTATATTTTAACCCCTTAACTTACAAGTACGGGCATAGCCCGTAGTACGATGATCGGACCAAACGTAAATATTACGGGCATAGTCCGTAGTACGATGATCGGGCCAAATATAATATATAATATAATATATAATAGCTTGTTTACGTTTTCGGCCCAAACGTAAATCGTAGGTTAAGGTGTTAAACAGGATATATTTTTATTATTGTCGAGTCGATAAGCGATCGATTAGAAATACGATTACGAAATCGTTATTAGAATGAAATACGATCTTTTAAAAAATTAGGAGGAGATACGAATTAGCGGAGATATCTGTACCTGTATAGTAAATAGTATTTCAAAGTAAGGGGACGTTCCTACAGGAAAGTCGACCCACAAATTGAACGGTAGTATTCTGTCAGATTCGTTTCTTCCTATATTTGCTGAACAGTAAAAAAATATTTACGTAATAATATATGTAACGTAATTGTGTATATAAATAAGCAGTGGATGCAAAGATATGCTCTTTTACGTACCTATAAGCGGTGTTACCATGTAACCGGCACAAGTGCCTTGGGTACAAAAGATCATAAGAATAATGAAAATGTTGCATATTCGTTTGCAATCAGCTACAATTAGTATTTCTTGTGGATCGTAATACGGACGCCAGAAATTTTTCTGTGTGAACGTAATTAAATTAAAGAACTTTATTTTGTGCTTGTATATTACGCCGATCTTTAGGAAAACGATCGTCACGTATAAAATATTGCAACAGATAAAAACGCTATCCTGAAATTATAGATATGTACATGTGAGAATGGTACGAAACACGTTTGTAGATTGTTCGTTCTTCTTCAAGTACTCTTTCGATTTCAATTAGCATTATCAGGTAAACGAGACTACGTTTAAAAGTTCCTTACTAACTTAGAATTAGAAAACTTATAAATTTAAACTTAGAAAAATTATAAATTAGTTCGATACGATATTTTCTTCCTAACGTAATAGGAGCACAGAAAGATAAAGAATAATAGAGGAATCGATCAAAGCGAAACCGTTGCGCACTTACGCTAAAATTTCCCCAAGTATGATAGATATCTCTGATCGCGATACATATACTGATGAAAAGCGCTCCGACCGTGTAGATAAGCGCGAAATCTCTGCGACGTTGTTCATTTCGATTCGCCGCTAGCCACAGACCTACGATTTTCATTAGAAAACTTGCCCAAATTATCGAAATGTCGTTATTCTGCATCATTCGCACGGTGAACGTCGAATAATCGAAGGAAGGGCGATGTAGTATCGCGTCAACTATAGCCGATCGATCTTTAACGAGATGTTAGACGCAGGGTCTTTAATCGTGACGACACTCTGACGATTTGCGTGTATGCCAATCAACAATTCGCGTAGCTGCCTGTAACGTGTCCTGTTCTCGTGTGAAGTGTAGGCGTTGCAACGTAATCGAAGATGCATTATTCACGATTCGAGGGAGTTTGAATGGAACAAGTGACGATAGAAAGAACGAGGAACGATTGTGATCGTACATAAGATGGTCTGCCACTGATTTCACTCGATTTAAGCGATGGATGAGTGCTTTGTCTTCTGACTCGATGGAACTATTACGATTGTTCAACGTAATATCGTAAATCAAGTAGCTGCAGAGGATTTCGAGGGGATAAAGTTTGTGAGTGAGTTTATTCCGAAAATCTTTCGTTAATTTTTCGAATGCAAGGAAAGTTACGACGCATGAAAGAATCCTATTCATTTTTAACGCGAAGACAAGGAAATTGTTCGTTCTGTGATATCATTCAATAATTCAATTTTAATTCAATTTTATTCTTGTAGTTATGTAGATATAAATACTGAGATTTATTTGCATTGTATATTTGCATTGTATATTTCTATTGTGCAAGTCCGTGCATTTATATAACTATTCCGCTGCTGCTTTTATAGACGATTCTCTCATGAGAGTGAAGTATGACATCGTCGAGCTTATAAGCTGTAACAAGAAATTTTATCAAGGTGTTTCACAATTTTCCATGTACATACGTATTCCACTATAATTACAGATATGTAAAAACGTGTACGTAATAGGCAGAAATGCAAAAATATGACGCGTACAGTATCGTAAGTAAAATTTACGGCACGTAATTTCCAAGATACCACATACGTGATTTATATTCAAATTTTGCTTATTTAAGGACAAAAAACGGTTACATATCGTACCGGATTGCAAGATGTGGTATTTTTAGAGTAAATGGAATTAAAAGAAAGAAATTGCTGCATACCGCGGTAGATGTTTCCAAAGTGACGGGAAAGAATCCTCCGGCGGACAGATAACACGGTCGCATCGATTTCATGATCATTATCCTCGTATCCTTCCGTATCTTCCTGCCTGTTTCGGTCATTGGAAGAATCATCCACCATCCTGAATACGATGCCGTGCTAATATTCGTGCTTTCCTCTACTAAACCATTGCAGATATACGTGAAAAAAATGATGTGGGTAAAACTGCCGATCATGTGGAAGAAGAAAATGAGTCGTGTCCCGGGAGATACGTCCGCCTACGTACAAATTTTTTAAATGACCACCGTAAGCAATATAGCTTTTATTTTTCATCTGGTAGGTGCCGAATAATAGTAAAACGTTCTTGTCTAATTTTATTAAATTGTTAATTTGAGAAATATGGCGTATCCACGATAGCTTTTTAGATAATTCGTTTTAAATCGCTCACACGTACCAGAATGACCTCGTACGTGTCGAAACACATCAGCACGCTAAAGATAACCATGTGGCTGAGGATCGGCAGTGTGTAAATGTCGTCGAGTTTAGCGCTGAATTCGATCAACGATTGATGTTTTCGGATGCATTTTTTCAACATTACGTAGCATTCGTTCGAGTACTCGACGATATCTGTTCGCTCGTCGATGTTCGACCATAGATTCACTAACGTGTTCTGCAGCATACGAAATTGGTAGACCACGTGTAGATTTAGCACGCATAAGAAGTTGTCGGGGCATATATAGCTCGCGCCAATTTGTTGTACGGCCAGTAACTGTGTATGTAAATAGCAATTAATCATAGAGTCATCGATGACAAATTATTACGATATATGCTACCTCATACTGTTTTCAAGAGTTTTTCAACCGGCGACCGTGTAGCAAGCAATTGTTACACGAGTCATCTTTTTTTTCATAAAATGAAAAGTTATTCTGACAATAAAAGGCATAGTTATCGAAAGCTTAAACGTCTCGAAGTTTAGAGAGTCAGGAAATGATCGACATCTTGAAATATACATATTGAATATTTGGTATACCTCGAGAGCAAACATTATTTCGTAATAAGGTGACACAGTTAGCGGCAGATTGACCCACATTTTGAATGGAAGCAACCTCTCTGAATTATTGTTTCCAATATTCGCTAAAATACAGTGAAATATGAATTTTATAGGATTATCCTGATTTTTACAAATGTTTGTTTCGAAGTCAGACTTGAGTAGAATGAATTTAGGTTTCTATCCAATTGCAAGGGTTATTTCTCAGGCCGATTTTTAAATTGGCTTCCTCAATTTCCATAATTTGGATCAGTTTTTTACTACGTATTTTAAAATATAGGTGCCTCGTTCCATTATTTGAAAAATTATGTTTTTTGTGTAAAAAAAGATTTCTTTAGTCTCTTCATTACTGGATCAACTTACCGGAGATCGGCGTTATTGCATAGAAAGACAAGGCGGTTTGTGTAACAAAGAATAGAAATACCGTCCACAGTTTGCAAAATCTTCCGCACTCCTCGAAAAGTATCTTGTCATTGTTGTCATAATTGAAATGCCAGAAATGCTTTTGCGCATACACGATCATATCCGAGAATTCTGTTTTATAAAAGTTTATTACCGAAAGTTTGAACATTGCCAATACTATGTTCAATGTGTTAGAAGCCAAAAAGATACAGTGCTGAAAAAATTATTTGTAACATTTCCAAAAGAACAGTTTCACAATATAATAATATTTTTACAGGTAGTAAGTTTAAGTGGCAGGAATATTTGATATAACTGGACAAGCGATTGGGCAAACGCTTCTCAAACCCTTCAAAATACAAGGAAAGAACGTTCCAAAGCTGTCCAACTATTGTACATACGTATATCGAATTCCGCAAATGTATTGTATTGTTTACAAACACACTGTACAGGTAACTACACATGCACAATTTAATAACCATAAAATTCCTATAGAAAGAGCAGAATGTTTTTTAGACTCACGTCTAAATTATCCATACTGTGAGAAATATCCACTACGTTCACGTACACTCCATAAACGAGTGCAACGATGGTATAGACTATCGTCAATTTCCTTCTGGTCTCTTCGGCGCTGTTCGTCGTTCTCGAGAGACCTGTGATTTTTAGCAGAAATTCTGACATTTTGATGGACATGTCTGTGTATCGTTCAGCTGGCATAGCAATAGTTCCTTGTCAATTTCTATTTTTTCGATTCTTAAGTCACGCGGTAACTAGTACTTGAAGACAATCACTTTGATCTATCTGGATATGCGACATTTTCTGATGGATACGTGTCTTACCTTCGTACGTAAAAGAGAAAGGGGAACAAATATGCAATTGACGAATATAAAACAAATATGAATCATATATTATGCACATATGCTACAAGGTAAGTGCGTGTGGTTGTTACACCATGGAACGAATGTACACCTAGTAGTTTGTCACGTATCGATCACCTTATCGCCAGAAGCAAAAATTACGATATGACGTATAGTCGTTTAGAGGAACAGCGCAGTTGTATATATGCATGTAGTTGTCTTCGAATGCAGAGTCGTGACATGGTGTAGAAAGATGTGTATTTGCCGCGATATTGATATTGCGTTAACACGGTTAAAGCGTCTTCTCCATTGCAAAATGAATATCAATTCTACAGCGACATACTTTAACAGGTATACTATTATCTATTTTATATATCGGTACGTACATTTTGTAATATGCAAATGCGTTTGAATATGCGCTTTGTTCCGTCTAAAGGAACGAAAAAACGCGACGATTTTCGTGGGTATTGTTGCGACGTGTTGCTAAACGCTTGGTCCAGTATTAAAAATGCAACATAATGGAAAGTGCATGGCGGAAACTTTTGTCGAACGAAATTGAACAAATACATGGACAAGAAAGGAAAATGGATGAGAAGGACGAAGAGGTTGTCGCTACATTGCGTAGAATACCAGGATGCGATGCTTGCACAATAATAATACCGATGTAATGGAATGGATTCGTTGCTACAACGACGATAATAATGACGATTTTATACGAATGGAAACAGCGAATGAAGGTCAGCACGAAGATGTACCTTCTCACGCCGAGGTGCTCTGGCGTGCGAGAAAGCGATTCGATAGTTCCAAGTACAAAAAGAATACAACTCTATAGAGTCACTGGGATTGAAAAATGATGTGGCCTAGCAACAAATATGATAGAGACGATAGATATGATCAACATGATCATAAACGTTTATGGAAATTAATCTGAATCTTTGTTCGAACAATTGCAATTTTATAGCAGTTTCACAGAAGAAAAGCGATCGTTCGATTATCTGAAAATTCCAGACTTTGTCTCGTTATTAGTTCGAATAAGGCAGGCTCTGCTGTATCGTGCACTGGAATTTCATACAATGTACGTGTATTTTCGCGTTTCAAATTAATCGAATTAATTAAATTATCATAGGTATCGCGACACAAAGAACAAGACAAGTTTACAGTGGAAGTATTTTATTACATATCCTTTTATCATTTTCATTGAGAAAATACGTATACTTATTCGCAACTCGTTATATTTAATCTTTATGAGGGGCGGGGGGAGGGGCGTGACTCACTGTCGCGATCGCCTCTATTTTCAATTGTTCAATTGTACAACCAGAGATCGAGAGATGGTTAGAAATAGGGGAAGCAAACGAAAGTTTTATTGCTACTTCCACCGCTGAATACGTTATTTAGAGGGTGGATGAAACGTTCTAGAGGCCGATCGACACTGAATCGTCGTCCCGCGGCAATGTCCGGACGCTATACCGAAACGTACAACAAACGAAGACTCAGCCCGCGCAAAATCTTTACGTATCGAGGGCTTTGAATCGCACAGTGTTTTAAATATCGTAATACGGTTACAGCGAATAAAACGGGGACAGAGGGGTAGGAGGGCAGTTAGGAGAAGGGCCAGGGCAACAGGCATCGACATTGGTAACGTTTCTCTGTGTTTCTCTTTTTCTCGTTTCTTTTTCGTTTTTTCTTCTTTTTTTCTGTTTTTTGTCTTCTTTTTTCTGTTTTTGTCTTCTTTTTTTACTTGGTACATACACACACATTTCGATACAATATTAAAACACTTATCAATTTCATTTGCAAACATTTCCTTACCTAGTATGTTTCTATTATTTCATCGTTATTCGGATAATGCCGCTTATCCATATAACACGCGTACCCATCAAAGCAACGATAAAACGAAACTGAAAGATTGTTCTCTCGCCTACGTTAGTGGCTTCTTTTATTTTATTTATTTATTTATGTTTTTCTTTTTTCTTCGTGAAGTTTGCGCTCTTAAACCGAAGGATCTACGTTTATCATGGTGCACGGATAAATCGTTCTATCCAACAAGTAAATTCCAGAATCGCCTATCAAAGTCAAAAAGCTGCTCATCGAAGGGCAATTACAGCAATGATAATCTCCTCTTTTTACGGTAACGATAACGATAGCGACAATGATGGTAATAATCATAATAACGATAATGGTAAAGATTCCGAAGGAGGTGACGCGAGCTTGTAACTGCCATGTGCAGATTCCACCATTCTTCGTCTTTTACGAACCGATCGAGAGAAGCTGTCCGAAATCAGCTCTTAAACTTAACGTATTAACGATTATTAAGGATTTCTATCATTTTTTTCGCTCCTTTTTTATCTCTTTTTTTTCGTCATTATCAACGATGTGGCGTAAATCGATCGCTATTTTGCAATAAGTTATCGATTATTTCATCTAAACGTCGTATCTTTCGAGGAAACTTTCTCGCAAGCGATTTTTCGTCTATATTCGCTAGGTGTATTACGCTTCTATTAAATATACACGTGTTAAATATACACGAGAGAAGGAAACGATAGAAAAACAAGAGGTTCTATTATTCGACTTTGTTCATGAAATTCGGGTGTAACACGGCAGCGCATAATCTACCCAGTAAAAGCTCGATTTTCATTTCCCCTACGTTAACGAGAGGCTGTTTTAAAAAAATAATCGCGCAATTATTAATCGTACGTTAAGTGGAATTTCGTTTGATCGTTTCTCGCTAGGATGTTGGCGAGAAAACTATCGGGAGAAGACGTTTCGAATCCGATTCTCGAATTCTGAATATTCGTTCTCGAGACGATCGTTCGCAATTCCAATCTCTTTTTTCTACGTCTATCGCGATTCGATAAGTTGTGGTTTTATATTCTACAACTCGTAACGATGCGAACGGAGGAAAAACCGAAAGTATTTTCAGACAAACGAATACATTGATAAAGTATGTCGCTATTTTTTGTTCCTGCTTGCTTGCTTTCTTTCCATAGAGAAATGTTGGAATTATCGGAATTATTTTACAAGTTGAAGGATTAGAAATATTTCATATCGAGGTGATTGTACAAACAATCGAAAGCTTAGCTTACGCCGGAGCTCGCTGTCCTGTATGTATTCATTGTCGTTCCAAAACTCTTTACAACTTCGACATTTTTTCTTTTTTTGTCTTTTCTTCGATGTAAATTTATAGATAAATATTTTGTTACCTTAGTCTGTGTAAACGTTTCATGTAAATTGATAGTAAATAATGTAATAATAATATCGTAATAATAATATAATACAATACTCCTCTAAAATTCCCGTTTATTTACACACACGTCACGCACTTTTTTTTTTTTTTGAAAAATCTAATCAAACCCGTGTAGAAAAATATCCGATGAATCGATAGAGACTCGAGATATCTGCGGCCATCGTTCACGTTTGAAAGTTTTCGACATTTCGCGGAAAAGCTCTTACACTTTGCGTCGATACATCCTTTGTAAATATCTGATTTCGTTACTTTTATATATGTCGTAACTCGATTCTATCAAAGTGTTGGAATTTTTCCGCAAAGTGCGTACATTTGCACGCATTCGAAAATCTAGAAACCTTTCAAAAACCATATGTTTTTGGCCCCATCGCGTTGAAATTCTAAAAGAAAGGCGAAGAAAAGGAAATGTAGGAAAAGAAAAGTTTCTCTGATCATTTTACGCGACCCATAGTCTCGGCGATTATTATTATTATTAGGGTCAGAATCAAATCCATCGATATGCAAGTATATTTCCGATTATCGGTTAAACGTGAAAGGCTATACAGGCTTGGAAAACAATATGATCGATAAATCACCCTTCGATCACGATCGCTTTATATCATTACATTTCGTTATGGTTTCTAGTTTCTAGTTACTCGCCCAATTTACTCGCCAAGAACAGCATCGCGTAGTCGTGATAAACGAAAGTTTCACCCGGGCTCTCTCGCACGGTAATTCATCGTTAATATCGGTGAATCGATAGCGATTAAAATTTTATTTATTTTATCGCCAGTTATCGATCTATCCGCGGTTTCTCGATCACCGTCGATCCGCCATGCAAACCAAGCAACTAATCGTAAGACACGAAATGTACAATCAGCCCTGGGATCAAGCGATTCGTCGAACGTTATGGCGCAACAGAAAAACTTTCATTCGGTAATTCTATCCGTTTTACGCGTGTATTCGCCCACCGTGAACGATAGCATAGGAACGGATCTGGAGGTTACTTTTGAGAGTCGATTCAGCCTCGTTTGCAAACGAAATCGTCGGGTACGTTGTCGTACCAGCGAGATACGGGCCTGACGATCAAACTGGCTAGGCAACACCTCCAACAGTCCAAGTACATCGACTTAATCGTTACGAACGCTATAGCGTTTTTCTCGTGGTGCTACGAGTTTCGTAGTTCTACGTGGTTCTTACTTCGTAAGTAGTAGACGAGAAGAATTCTAAAATAGGCGGTCGAACTTTGAGATCATAGGTTGCGTTTACGACAGATGTTTTCCTCGAGACGAGGTCTTTGTGCAAAATCAAAGTCTGAATTTACATGTAGTCGAAGAGTTCCATGTTTTACAGCGTTTTCATTGACACCACTTTACAAACGAACGAACGTTTCTATCTTGTTATTAGCTCGCGTGCATCATCGACCAAGTATCTTCCACGTCACGTTCGTTCTTCCGCGCGTTCTTTCAGTTATAATGTCTGCGAACCGTGTAGCGTTAATTAGACGGGAAGAGCCTATCGTAGAATATATGCGTAAATGTACCAACCAAGGTAGTGTAGAAAGTTTGAAAACAACATGATTCTTAAAGTATGTCCAAGTATAAGATGTTGAAACAATTCTGATCGTTTTATCCATAGATAAATCAATTGCGAATATACGGACACAGATGTGATATGATATAAAAGAGGTACATGCGATTTCAAAAAATTGATTGCGATATATGAAAACTTATTACACAGATCAGGTTCTCTTCCAACAAAATCATAGGACTATTATACGTTTATCTTAACATGTGTCTACATCGTGTTACGTATCAATCATTTTCAACTATATCGATTAATTTAATTACTAATTATTTTATACGATATCGTAAAATTAATCTTCAATTTCTTTTGCAGGAATATTCGTGCTATAGGCGCTACAGTCGTGTCACTTAACATTTTCATGGTATATCGCCACAGATGAGGAGCAATCACGGTCTACGAAAGAATTCCGTCCTCCTTGTAATTACAAACGTGGAACGTATTTCTTATCCAGTGGATCGTCGTATGTTCTCAAAGTTCATCGCCTAATTTTGGAAGTACACTGTATATCTGTACGAAAATAAATATCGTGCAATTTCTGAAATTGCACACGTTCCGTATAGAAGATAGGACCCGTTTTAGAAACCGCGATGCGCTAATTATTTTCGAGGGATTGCCCAACCAGTCGAGCGTCATGCAGATTTCTCGATACGTACAGTCAATTGATCGCATTCTCCTCTGTTTTCGCTCCTCCGCGTTTTAAGGACGTAGCCGTTTATGATCGTCGTTATTATAAAAAATAGTATCAATAGTTGTGTACGTAAAATACGAAAACACTTGGAAATACCAACAACAATGTACAGCGTACTATCCGAGACGAACCCGAACACGTTCGAATATAGTATTTATAAGTACTAACAGTGTCATTTACGCGTGACGTTCCAAATATATCAAAATAGTTGGAATAACATTTATTAATAAAATCTGAATCTTTCGAGTAAGTTCGAAACACCGTGAACGCATGGGCGGTGCTCGAAATACAGCGGTTAATATATATGTACAATCGAAACGAACATATACACGATCGAGAGCGTTTATCGACAATTAATCGAATAATAATGGATCCAACGATACAGAGAGAGAAAGAGATAGAGAGATAGGGAGAGAGAGAGAGAGAGAGAGAGAGAGAGAGAGACTCCTTTTCTAGAACAGCAAGAAGTCTGTCTGTCTTTCTTTGACTGTGCGTACACGAAACGTATCTCACGAGACGGTAAAACGGTGAACAAGCTCGTTCGCTCTCCAATGAGGATATTTCTCGATGAGACGAGTAAGAATTTTCTCTCTCCGATTAGAGAGCAACGAATAAGAACGAAGGTAACGGCGGTGTATATAGTAACATTATAGCGATGATATACGTTACTTATGTATGTACAATAATATTACACGATAAGTTACATTATGTACATAAAGACAGCAGCAGATAGACGTTTAGTTTTCACGTGTACGATAAATGTATACATGTATATGTATATATACACATATGCGTACATCGTATACATAAATGCTATTTATATAAATATCATGTTCTTACGATATATGTAGATTGTTAACTTACAAGATGCTTAGAGCCGCGCTTACGTAAGTATACAGTCGCTTCTCAATTATTTATAGTTACTTCCTCGACTCGTATGTCCTTTTGTTATTTCTATATTTCTTCCTCGTTCATTTTTACAATTACTTTTTTCTTAGCTTTTGCCACTTATCCTTCGCGCGTTTATCTCTAACGGTTTCTCTGTTTTATATTTGTTACTTTTTAAGAAACGTCACGCAAGACTCGGTCGGCGTCGCATCGGTTACGAGCCTACGATAGATATGAATAAGGTATTCCTCGTTTACAGCCGTCTGTACAATTATATTTCGCATACGTTTTCGTTACATCTAGATCCTGTCATCGCCACGTATAAAAACCTTACGAAAATAGTTGCTCTATCATAAAACCCCGCAGCTCTTCGTTTTAACACGTTACCATCTTACATCGGTATTACAAAGGATCGAGGTATAATGCTCGTCGGTAGCGTTAAAGCGCGCGTGAAATCCCATGTTGCCTTTTTTTCCATTTCCTTTGTCCTTTCCTTTCGTCGATCGTAGCGATTTCCATCTCGCTGTTATCGCGCGTATCGGATTCTTCGCTGGAGGAAAACGATCCACAGCTGATCGACGAAGATATCCTCTGACATGGAGGAAAGGATGTGCGCTACGTGAATGCCCGATAAGAGTCTCGTAGAAGAACAACGAGTCGCTGCAACTCGTTAAAGGGGAACAAACGTTTGTGGAACATGGATATTAATAGTCCTAATTCTTTATCGACGGAGTATACACGAAATAATCAAATTACGAATTTCGTGTTTAAACATCGAAAATGAATAATTTTGTATTTGGTGGAAATTGAGAAGATCGCAAGTTCAGTTTAGCGCAGACTGTCGCGCGAATTGCGATGAAATGCGCGACATTTTTCAATAATAAATTTAACAAAAATAATGTACAGAAAGTAGTTGAAATAACGTGGAATTTGAATAGATAACGGGAAAATTACAATTTCATAACGACTCTTTAAACTAAGCAACTATAAGACGAATTATACGTGTTTCAACAAGTTGTTCCTCGCTGACGAGTTAGAGCGACACGTGGCTAGAAAACAAACAGGCGAAAACCACGAAGCGTTGCTGTTTTATCAAGGCTAAACTTTGTCAGTATGTTCTATGAGCACAAAGAAGAAAATGAATGTTGTACGAATGTAGGGTTGTTCGAAGCTTCGTATAGCAAAATGTTATAACAAAACTACAGAAAGGAAAGGGAACGTCACTTTGCTCTTTTGAGGAAAGATATATCGAAGTGGTATTAATTGCAAGGATCAACGATTTACCGAGTAGCAATAAAATCGAAATGAACTCCATCATCAAACACAGTATCGAAATAAATCTAACTTTTTTACAGCTTGTATCAGTCAGTCGTGTATCGACAGGAACGATGAACATTTTCAAACGAAGTACTAAAATCTAGCGATACTTCTGTTACCCTTTCCTTTATATTCTATATTTTCATTACAACTTTTTAACAAAGCTTCGAACGTACATACGTATACACATACATACGTGTGTACGTTCAGCAGCTTTCTTCTTCTCCTACTTATACGATATAGTGACAAAGTTTGGCAGGAAACAACTACAACGCCCTGTATAATATTTCGACGTTACGGTTGGAGAGATCGAACTCTAAAATAATACGAACACATGCTCATGGAAGATCATCTAAATCGATAAATCCTCTTTTCACCAATTTTAGTCGCGATATATCATGATTGAAATTTAACAAAAAATGTCACTATGATGTTGAACTATTTGCCACTTACGTAGCTTGATCTCTGAACTAACTCGCGGCAGGAGCTGCCCTCCTGGAGCGTAAAAGGTCGTTATTGTCGCCAGTGATCGCGTTAATCCGTCGCACGCGTAATCGGTCGATATTAATTCGAGACAAAACTGTAAAGTCGGGCGCTTCCGCCTTTCTCTAGGTCGGCGTAGACACACAGAGGAACGAGTAGGTGCGACTGGGTTTGGGAGTGGAATAAGCGACGAGTTGAATTGGATCACAGGAGACGGAAGGAGGCAGGCAACTTGACAATGTGGCAAAGACGAAAGCGTTGTTCATCGTTTGATCGTTCCATCGTTTCGATCGATGTAACGCTAGAACCATCGTGCGCACTTTCTTTGCTGTCTGGTCGGTGTGTCGATACGCGTTAACCGATTCTTTTAAATATTTTTCACTTCCTGCACGATGATATGCGCGGCACGTGTATTTATCGGTGTACGTATGGCACCGTAAGAAGTCTCCAAAAAATAAAAAGAAAAAAAATATCAACTAGATCGTCTAACGTTCCAATAAGAAAATATATATATGTATATATATATTTATATATATATATATGTATATACGTGTATATGTATTATATTTGTGAAGTCGACCGTGCTACGAATAATAAGTACAAGTAATGTAGTAATCTGCTGTTCTCGCATACGGAGGTAGTGTTTAATAAAAATTCTCGAATACTCTCTCCCTCTCTTTCTCTCTGTCTCTCTCTTTCACTTTTACATTCTGTTCCTGCTTTTCTTCTAGCTTACTTTCTCTTTCGTTTTCCCTTCTTATCTCTATCTCGATAACTCACGTATATGCTATACCAATAATGTGTAAGGTAACGTTAGGTGTTATGCAATTAGTGTCACTTAAATCGCAGCATGCAATGCACGGATAAATTTCTGTATTACGTTATCCTAAGGACCTATGAGTAAATCGTCGAGACGAGTCAACGGTGCGCGCAGTTTCTTAGTTTGCTAGCGACCTTCTTCGTTCAGACGACAAGTACAATTACGAATGGACCACCAGTTCCAGAAGCATCGTTATAGCAAACGGTCTGTGTCGCGCTGCCAGCCGTTCTCTCGGAATTATTAATTGTATTCACACGCTAATTACGCTGGCGAGTATCGCGAGCAACTTACACCGTGTCTTGTGACGATGTACAATGACGCATTGAATTCACGTACCTTTTACGGTAGAACCGCGTTTATTGGAACGAAATTTTAATCAGCGACTAGTCGAGTCAACTAAACTCTTATTGCCCAAACTTTTACTATCTCAACCAGAAACCGTAGATAGCGAGGCGAATCGACGTACAGTTTCCATCGTGTTAAACCGTTTGTCTTTCTTGTCTCTCGAAAGGTTCAGACAAATGGAGTTGCTAATTCTGTCCTGACCCTCTACTCGTTGCCGTCACATTTTTCGCTTGTTTCGCTCGAAGCAGACAACTCGGTCCCTTTGTTCGTGAATACCTTAAAAATCTAGAAAGGTGCTCGTAAAACAGAAGAAAGCCTCGGAAGTATGCGAGCACCTCAACGCGATCTACGTCCTCGTTCGTCGAATCTTTTTACTCAGTTTCTTCGTCGCAAGGTAAGTCCGAAAGAATGTCTCGCATCCAGTCTGGATACCTCGAGGCAAAGAAGGGATCCGTAACAACGACGCGTGGAGATCTATTTGTAAAACCAGCGTGGTTACACGCTCGTGTTACGGATCATGCTCGTTTTCAATGAAATTACGATGCACGTTGCGCGAGACGATAGAAAACGACAGATTCGAGAAACCGTCGTTTCCGCGTCGACAATAGGGAACTGGAACGCGTCGCGTTACATACGATCGCGATCAAAATCAAAAGATGTGTACAAAAACGAAGGAACAGAAGAAATGAGCGGACGATCGGTTTCGCGGGTTAGCAACGTGCTTCCATGGTTGGGACTCCGTAATCGGCGACTTCCGATCCGAGTGACAATCGTGACGATCACGCGTGACCCAGAATCTCGGACCGGCTCACTGTTAAGCCCGTTCCGGGCAGCCAGCCTCGGAATACATCGAATCCCTACGAAGTGTTTACTAATTTAGACGCCGGTGTGGTTGAATATGTACGAAACGTTGCTCTCCTGGTGCACCGGCGGTCCATGGAAGGTTCGCCTGGTCGATGAGTTGTTATTGTTGTTGTTCACGTAGTACGAAGATTTCCTCATGCTCGTCGACGAAGACATCATGGCCACCGTTTCGTAATACCTGATCTTGCCACAGCAGCGTCCGCTCTTGAGGATCGCGATGAAACCACGACGGTATTTCTTGTTGAAGAAAGCGTACAGGATGGGATTGATGCAGGAGTTACTGGCGCCAAGCCATTGAGCGATCGGCGTGGCGATAGGCAGGATCTCGTCCTCTCTTTCGGCAACGTCTCCGCCAAGCTTGATCACCGTGAAGATCACGTAGAGCGGCAGCCACGACAGCACGAACAAAATCACTACGACGACCAGCATCTTCACCACCTTTACTTTCGATTTCTGCTGTATCCTCTCCATCTGGGCGTCCTTCGTGTCAGAGGGGATATGCCTTCGCCATACTTTTATCCAAATCAGGATATAGCAAAGAGAGATCAAAATCGTGGGAAGAACGTAGCATAATGTTAGATTGCCGATGAGGAAGAAGAGGGTGCCGTCTTCGGGGTGCGGCCACACTTCCAGGCAGAGCCTCAGGTCTGGATCGTCGTCGTAAATCGACACCAGATCGAAGAAGAGCAACCATGGAGATGTGGTGGTGAGGGCGATGAACCAGATCACGACTATCATCATGCGAGCTCGCCTCTTTGTTATTTGGCATTTCAGGGGCCACCAGATCGCCAGGAACCTGCAGGCAGACAGATCGATGTTAGCGATTGTCCAAAATTTTTTTTGTACTCGTATATATTTTAAGATGTTGAGAATTTATGGTTGACGATAACTCGGTTTCTGTAAATTTTCGTTAAAAATTTTGTTAATTCGGAATGTGAAACGATAATCGATACGTTTCGAGTTGTACGAGAGGACGTGCTTCAAGTTAAATTGACAATTACGTATTTTATAAATCGTAGAAATCAACATATTTTCTACGTTTCAATCGATCTAGTTGACGTGATATATCGCGAGCGACTTTCAAACTTGGTCGATCAAAACCTTAGACATTTTACAATGCGCTAGATCGGAGAAACGGTCACCTCCTCTAACACCGAATCGAGCATATTTTCCAAATCCCTGGAACAAGTTCGATAAACGAGGTTTTTCAACTAAGGAGACCCATTATACTCACAAAGAAAGTGCCAAAACGAGCTGCTAGCGACCAAGGCCAACCTATGATGGTCGTGAGATCGCGTAACGACGTTCTAGCACGAGCGAACGTTGTCATTGTTTATCGATCACGAAGAAATCGAGATTTTACAACGCTGGGATACACCTACGCAGACACAGAGTCGTGCTGCGGAAAACGTAACCGTTCATTTTTTATGCCTCCATTATGGAAATCTCGATATATTCTATCGGCGATTTCGAAAGACAGTCGGTTTCGTTACGCTTGGACGGGCGCACGGCTGCTACGTAAGAATGGATATGTATAGCAATGCGCCTTTTATGCGACGCAATGGCAATTCAACATTCCTGTATCGCGGTCTATGAAACGAGTCTTGCCTAGATAAGGTATCGTTTCTTAAGAATTTGTTAAGTAATCACGTTCGAAGTCTCTAGATCCGATAGAGAATATCATCCTAGAAATTTCATCGTTGTAGCAAGCAACTTCCTTCTCGAGATGTCTCGTACACAGTAGCTCGTTACGACCTTTCGATTATCTTTCTTTTTCTATCGCTCGAAGTCGGCAAACTCCAGTCCAGTTTCCCTCGAATATACGGTAAACGGTGTCTTATCACAGCAAAGGAAGCAGTTGAACGATCAAAGAGGGTCGAAAAGACGTCTCTTCCTCGCCTCCGTTAATTGACCGGTACGTGACTCATCCTTACACGTTCCTGTCCAACTCGAATCCTTCCAACAAGGATCTAGGCACGCCCATTAGCGAATATGGCCTGTCGTCGCTTCGCAACAGACTCCGACACGAACGATTTCGATTTTCTCGGTATCGGATTTTAATGGGAGAGCTTCGCTCGGCGAACAGTCGCGTCCTTCGATTAAACGAACACAACCGTTCGTCGTTGTCCACGTTGAAGAGTCCTTCTATAAATCAACGTCCAGCTGATACCGATCTACCTGTCCGCGTTCCCATCTGCATTGTTACTTCCGAGTGGCGCGCGTCTCTCCCGTTGCATATTTATAACGCAAAAGTGCTAACCTTCGTGCCTCCGACGCCAGCCTCCGTGTATTCCGCGGAGGGGAAGACGAACGGGGGTTAGGAAGGATGAAAAAATCGTTCGATTCGCGGATACGGATTATCGGGAATGACGAAGGCTGCAGAGGCCATTGGGAGCGCACGAGTGGGAGTGAACAACGAAGATGACACAGCTTTCGGCGCGTGTATATAAAGAGTTCGATTTCCGTAGAGCTAACAGCAGTATCGACCCGCGTCCTTTTCGTGTTTGCCTACGGAAAAGCCGATAAAACGTTTAACATGTTCAAGCTGGCAAGTATATCCATTATATGTATACCCTATATACGCTTACTTACTACATGTACGGGGTAGGTGAGTATCTGTTACGACAAACGATACCGATTTTAAACGGTTCGTGTTAAGTAATATACGAAATCGGTGAATTTGATAGAATATGTCGTAAATTCCTACAACGTTCGTTTCTCATTTCGGTCAGATCATTACGTTGAAAGTAGGTAAATCAGTTATTTTACAGAATAATACCCGTACTCGTTATTATTTTCGAATAACGACATTTGTTTCATTTTGTAGTAGTTTGAGCGAGATACTTTACCTTTTATTTTTCATAAAAAATTTTTAATTGCATCTAGCGTCGATTTGGACGACTGCGCCGGATCTCTGGTACTTTTATAAAAATACCAATTAATTTCGTTCGTTACAACACGAGTACACCAGCACGAGTAGCATTTTTACACTAACTTTCGATACACGTTACATAATCAAGCGTAACAATAATAAATTGCCAAACTTTTGTAGATAGACGATTTGAAATTGTTTCTAATACGATAAATGGCAAAATAGGCCAATCCCGATTAATATTGCCAATAAATTTATGTTTTCAAATTTACCGTTAATTTGAATAACTTTGATTCGATGTGGTTTAAAAAATTTTGTATTAAAACTATTTATTATTCGAAAGATCGAGTAAAGTATCGAGATAAGCGATGACGAAGAAGATACGAGGAAGCAAGTGAAAGTAGATCGTTTACGGTCAGACACTGTCTCAACCGATGTACTTTATTACCGGCGACAAATATTTATATCTATCACTTGTAATCTCATTTCTCTACAATTATGATAACAAATTTAATCTCAACATCGATGTTAATAATATCATCTATTTTTGGTTTAAATACTTGAGTTATATCTAAAACCGTATTTCATTGCGGTGTACTTGACAAACTAATCAAATATCGCTGTTCTACCTAGCGTTTGTTAACGAGATCGACAATGCTATATCTTTCTCGATATGGACAGTTTTATTTACTTACTCGACTGTGCTTCACACTTTCGTCGCATGGTGAACATTAAGGATGCAAATAACGGTCGGTTTAACGAGACTACTCCTACAAATCTTCTACTAATTTGACAGTTATTAATGGAATAATCGATACATACGTATCAGCGATGAAAACGGTAAGCTTTAAACGAGCTACGAACCATGCGAAAGAAATACTGTGTTGTCTGTATAAACTATCGATTACTATGTGTTTACAAAGCTATAAAGTGGCGCATATATACGAACATCGATTTATACATAGAATAATGGATGTTTTTTATAAAGCCTCTGTGATACTTTCGTCAAATAAATGGGCTACTAAACGAAAACACATAATTTATCGTTATTTAATTTCGTAACATGTATCGTTCCGTTTAAATTTATGAGGTATAAATAAATACTTTTGCCGCTTTTTGAATTTAGCTGTATCTGTTTCGGTCCAATGTTCGGTCCAACGAAAAGAAGCGAATACTTTAAAAATAATAATTTACTAATAATACATTGGAAATGTAAATATTCGTATGTGGCTAATAATAACTCCGGAAGGATACAAAATAACATGTTTCTCTTATCGACAGATTGTTTTGCTGGCCATGACCATCTTGGCGGTATCCGCTGTACCAGCTCCAGTGCCGCCAGTAATAGCACCCCCGCTGGTCTACTGGCATCCTTACGCGAAGGTGTTACCTCTACACACCGCGACTCTGCCTCTATCCTACGCTCATGGCTACAAATGGTATCACCCAGGATCCGTGTATCTCTACCGATGACGAAGTCAAGCCAATTTCTTCACCTGTGCGATAATCTTTACGACTAAGGATTATACACCATAAAGGCGACAATTGCGCGACGAATAACTTCTTACCGATTTGAGATGTTTAAAGTAAAAGTTTAAAGTAAAACACGCGGTAGCCGCAACGACTGTAGTAGAATCCAAAGCCATTTCCCTTTTCCGGTTAATTTCACCGTCAAACTCGTTCGTCGTCTTTTATATCGACTGTAAAATCTGCGGGATGGTTGGCAAGCGTTGCTCCACTCGAGTTCCAGCGTATCGCGAACGATGGAAACGAGAAGAGGCCGCCGATACGAGATTCGACAGCGTTGTTCGCAAGGAGAAGCATGGAAAATCTAAAGGGACTAAAGGGGAGAGATTGTTCGGGATGGTCGTAAAACGGAGGAAGGATCGTCGAAGGCCAGATTCAAGCGAAAGCAGGGTGGAGGCGCGTACGTCGTTTACGGGGATGCGTCGTTTATATGGCCATCTGCGTGTAACGGCGCGACGGTGCGGCGTTCGTTTTCCCGCGTCTGCGACTGCAACGCGGACGCAAAGTATCTTTGCGTGTATCTTGTTTTATCGTCGGATAAGATATATATTCTGGAAGCAGGGTGAACGCTCGAGATCGTGGGTACTTTGTTCGAAACTTTACTCCGATGGAGTTGCTTCGTCCCGACAAGCTTCGTTTGGTGCGTGAAATCGGAGAAGGAATATGTTGGAGCGATTGAGGAACGAGACGAAACACGGTGAAAACTAGAACGAAACACACGAATCCCATTGTTTGTTTTTTTAAATAAAATTTTATTAAAATTCCATATGACCAAAGGGAAAGGGTCCTGGATGATGGTGCAATGATAGAGATGCGAATGTCCGAATTGCGTTGATGATCTCAGGGCGGCAAATGGTCGCCGAAAGGAAAGAGACCAGCCGATTCTGACGCGATTCTTGATCTTTGGATCGCGTCGCGGATCGTGTTACCGATCGTGTCCCGAAAAAAGCTGGACATCGTCTCGATGATCAGGAGATGACCAGGAATGAAACAATTGATTTACTAGTTTTCCCGATTGTGGCTGTTCTTCTCGCTCCATCCTCGAGCTATGATCTATCTTTCCCTTCGTGCTTTTTTCCTTCAATTTCGCTGCTTCGTTTTTTTTTTGCCTGGTTTGGAGGTGGGGACGATTTACGAGGGATTAGAAAGGTGTGTGTATGTGTGTGTATGTGTTTTCTAGGGGGGTTGTCTCGTCGTGACTTGGTGGTAGTAAGATAGAATCAGTTGTCATCTAATGCAAGCCGTGCGCAGAAAGGAGGGGCAGGGGTGCGGCGGTCAGCACGGACTTGGTGACGATGGGAGCGGTGCGGACGATGGGGGCAACAGGCTGGGCGATCACGTGGGCAGCTGGTGCCAGAGCAGCGTGCGAGACGACCAAGGGAGCCGTAATTGGGCCGGTTGCGTGATCAGCGATGATGCCGGTGAGACCACCAGGGGCGGCGGTAGCGACAGCCAGGACGGCGGCGAGAACAGCCTGTGGGAAAACAGCACGTGCGATTCTTAGTTTACCCCTGGCTCTTCTCTTACCAACCCAACCCCTTGGATTCTCGATCTACGTTCTTCTACCGGCTTCTTATCTTCGTTAATAGTCGTAGCACAGTGCAGTTGTGTATCTAATTCGAGCGTTAATCTTTCAGCGATTATGGTCTTACGTGGAAACAAAGAGAACGCTTTAATCGCGTTAAGTCGTGTTCGAGACCCGCATTTGTTTACCGGTGTCCTTGGAACCGCCGGCGTGAAAGATACAAGGAAAAGGCTAAAGTAAAAATGAAAAAGTAAATTGTTTCGAACGATTTCGTGGTTCTTCCGACGGTGATAATCATGGCCCAGAGAAAAAGATTCTTGGACGATCGGAGACTCGCAGAATGAATTGACCGATATAGATTTTGTTTAGTAGTTTGATACTCTGTAGTAGTTCGATATGCTAGTTTGAAAGCGGTATGATTAAAAAAAGAATAAGCGAAATATCCAACAGCGATTAACGCTATTTCGGGGATGATAGAATTAGTACGCGGCTGTTGATCGTAGAATCTCACGAAAGACCGACTGCTTGATTAAATCCATACGGCTGGTCCGCGATGACCTTATTCTACTTCTTCTCAAGCATGTTAAGCTTTTATGAAAAATCTGCACGATGTTCGTAATAACGTCGACACTATCGCGTTAGATTATATCAACCAACGATTAAAGAAAAATTTCACAAATCGATCTGATCGAAATGTACGAAAACTTACTGAAAATTTACGTTACGTACGAATCAATATCGGTCTTCAAACTTATATTTCTATAACACCGTCTATAACACCGCCTTGCTCGAAAAATCGCATGGAAACGTGCAGATTCTAATAAAACGACGTAAAGCAAGTGTCGTGGACGAACGGCACGCGAGCAGGCGAGTACGCGAGATCGGTTTCGAGCCGGGGAAAAAGCGAGAGCGCGGTGTCCGTGGTGCGGGTCGCATTCCATTTTGTCCGACTGCGTTCGCGACTGGAGTTGGCCAACAATGTGCATGCTTCAGTGGTTTCGCTCGTTCGCGTAGATTTTTGTGACCGGACGGAAACGCTGGTGTCCGTCCGAGTGAACGTATAACCACACCGATGTATGTGCTCGGAAAGGTCACGGCGCGATACTTGACGCGTTTGCCGCGGGAATCGAATGCTTTATCGATCAAAGAAGATCAGAGTGAACGGAGGAATTTTCCTCGCCACGACGTTCCACGGTGATTCGATCGAACGATTAGCCAGTCCTCCGTATGAATGTGCTCGCGAATGCGGTTAATATGCAAATTAGCCGAGGAGGCCAGCCTCACCAACGAGAAATTCCGTTTTGCGTTTAGAAAAATAGGGAGAAGCTCTACAGCTTACCTCTACAGGTATCTCGAGAATCTAAAAATTTTCCAAAAAGAATTTCGAATAGAACGATTTTGCTGGACGTTGAACGAGAAATGTAAAGGACGTTTGAAAGTTGTCTTACGAATTCATAATGCGAATACGAATGCATAATTATGCTATATTATAGGTAGGATTATGTACTATACGCATTTGAGAAAATATTAGTGTTTCGTCCACCAGTTACTAGCTAAGGTATCTATCAAAACGGGTGAAACTGGTATAATTTAGTCCCCTTGTAATACTTTTGGTTAAGAAGACTAGAAAATTTATACAATTTTCTAATCGGTATGCCTGTCTCGAATACGTCAAAAATTCCAAGATCAAAGAAATAACCAAAGGGTGAACGAAAGCCGTAGCTTATTCGTACATGGTCTATTAAAACTAACTTGAAACCAAATGAAACTTAATATCTATCGCTGCTAAATTATATATTGCCGTTTTGTCTTGAATGGCTCACGTATGCGGTATATCTATCTGTTCCAAGTGAAATCGTGCTGGTTAGAACCGTTTCGTTGCTCGATTTCGCCCACCCACGTAACATCGACAAAGTAAAACTCTATTTAATCTAGTATAGCGATGGAAATAAGTAATATAAAATATGATATTATTCTTACCAACTTGAACATGTTGATTGGGTTGTGGGTTGCTTGTTTACTTCTCGAAAGTAGGTAAGCTTATGCTGGATGTACCGGGCGGCGGTCCTTTTATACAAAAGTCGGTTTTAAAAAATCGCTATAAATTTGATCACGTGGCCCTCCATTCGACTGTCTGACGTTATTCATCGGCGTGTTGAGTCAGCCGATCTAAGAACGGAGGTGGGGTGCCGTTTAGCCAATCCACGTTCGGTATCGGCTCTAAACAATGCGAATCTGGCCAATCACGCGCTTTCAACCCCTCGCGATCGGTTCTTGGGAATTGGGTTAAGACATTTCGCGTGGAAACAGTTTCGTTGTCTGTGTAAACGATACGAAGGTGTGGGTCACCCGCACAGACCCTGGTTAGGTCGGGGTAAGTGCAACAACGCTAGCTGAAAACATAAAGCCGCACGCTCTAAACGCGGACTGATTTCGTGAAAAAAATCCAGTCAAGGTCTTCTTCGGCCTCTTTGCGCCGCTCTATAGGCGCCAAACACATCCTTGTAGAGGAATCCTTCGAGCTTCTTCGGGATCGAGAATCGTTGAGAAGCTTAGGGTACCGATCGGATGTTACACATATGCATAAATTAATACCTGTCGTAAGATTTTTACGTTTTCATCTTTCGATCAATAGACGGTTGACTCTAAATAATTTTTGCTAACGTTTATGCGGAGCTCGGTATATGTTTCCTATAGGGTGTCTTAAAATTAGTGATCAGCTGTGCCGTGAAAGGATTAGCATTAGTGTCTATACTTTTAGAAAATAATTTAGTGACACGAGTTCTATGTGTAGAAAAAAAGAAATAGAATTCGCGAGGAACGAATTTAAGACGGATGTCGCTAATCTTTTTTCGAAAGATGCCTATCGTTATAGATTATCGATCTCGTACAAAAATCAATAGCAAACCAAATATTCAAGGAAGTGGATAATATAAAAATTAGCTGAAAGCACTGGGTGTAATACAGAAAACGATACTACAGCGACAGCTTCCACTAATCCACTTTCGTTTTATTCTATGGTCCATTATCAATCACACGAAAGAATAAATTTGCTATGAATTAAGGAGAGATTCACGCGGAAAATATCAAATCTACGTTACCGATTGTCATGGAACGATTGTCGCGATACTCATGGAACTTTCTTATACCGATTTAAATTCGGTAAACGTGATATAAAAATTGTCGGATCGTGAATTCCATATTTAAGGAAGATTCGAAGCAGCTTCTGCTCTCCATGTTGCTTTATCGCAATATTAAATAAGGCTAGAAATACGCAAGGAAAATCTGACACGGCGTTGCAATCTGTCTAATACGATTAGCCTTTCTCAATTATGAAATGTAGAGATATAAGCTTTCGATATTATTACGTGGTTTGAAAATTAGATACCGTTACAAATCGGCATGTTACACTTTAAATTTGTCGAAGGTGAGTGGAGAAAAACTGAGGTTTCAATTTTTTTGTGCCTGAGATTCGGGATACGAGTTGTTTAATTATCAAACCGCCCACTGAAAAAACCGATCTTTCACGGTCATTTATTACCGTGAAGTCATTTAATTCGTAATATGACGTAAATTCTACTTCACACCCATTACTTCATACAAGGTCTAATGTCGACTAAAGGAAAGTATTTCCGATCAAAAGGAGTCGCACCTAAGAGTACGTTCCAATTTCCACCTTATTTTTGTTAGATTTAATAGGAGTAGAGCCTTGCTTCGTTATACTAGAAAAGTGTTTCAAATTGATGGACCATCGGCGGAATCGCGCCAACTGGCATCGTCTTTTGTTACGCGACGAATCACTGCCAATTCTCGATCTTCGATCGCTTGGTGATGTAATCGCGTGTAATCAAGAGCGGGTTATTCGTTCTCTTTATTATGCGTGAAAGACCAGAGTCTCTGGACGTGTAACAAGTGTGGCGGGTGTCGTGTGTCAACCACGCGGAAGTCTGTGTTCGAAATATGATTGACTTACGGTGAAATGGCCGGTTTACTGATAAAATGGAACAAGAGCTGGGTTGCTTATCGATATCAAATGTGAAATGCGATACCGCTTAAAGGCATCCCGACGTCTATCCTATCTTCCAGACTATGTAGATTATAATATTATTAAATTCTATCACCATAACGAGTATTACGTAATACATTTTTGTAACTTAAACGCGTTCGATTCATTTTTGCACGTTTAAATTTTTCCTGAATGCATAAACAATCAACATCCGTTAATCTGTCACTACGATTCAACGAAGCAGCCAGTAATAAGGCAGCAATAAGGCAACCTTGTCTGTACAAACAGCGCAGTACTTGTTTATACGTAGATAATTTCTATTTCTAGTATTTTTGTTCAGCGTTCGGTGTATTTTATATTTTAAATTCTTGAATATTAAGCCGATCGAAGCGATTTTTATAGATCTTCAAGATCTTGAAAGCAGAAAGGATAGGAAGCGGTAACAGTCGTATGCGATGCTTATAGAAATTTGTATAAGTTACAGATACTTTATAGGTTACTGTAGAATAAATTGAAAGTAAAACATGCTATACAGTTTGCCGTAGTGTATTTTTAGATGCAACAAGATGAAGAACCTTTCGTAAATCTTCGATTCTTTCCTTTCTTTCCCGAGTAAGTAACGTATCTCTTTGGTACGAGCAACGATTACATTATAGCGTAGCAACGTGTCTTACGTAACCTAGTCGCAGCATTGAAAAGACAAAGGGAGTGTTCCAAATCTATCTTAACCCTGCCGTCTATATCAAGCTGTAATAATATCGTTTGAAATTGCTCGAGACGTGAATTTGTGGGCATAGAAGGAGGAAGTCCACGATGGATTCGTGTTAGTGGATTTACACAGGTCGATAGGTCAGCTGCAGCTTCTGTCGAAGATGTTCGCGCGGATATGAGAACAAGACTGGAAGATGTATGTATTTTCGTAGTTGGCAGTTCGTTCTATAGACAGAACAGCAGCAAGAAGCAAGAAAAAGAGGGCGAACGAAGGTAGGGAGAGTAATGCGTCGCTGCCCGAGGGTTGATCGAAGGCTAAGACAATTCCGAGTCACCGATGCTCCCTTTTGCCAGGCAATTTCAGTAAGATCGATCGCTTCCGAGGATCGTGTAAAACTATTTCGTGATACCAGTCAGGTCGTCTGACGTGAAATTGATAGAAAATCATTTATCGGGCATTTCACTGGATCTCCAGTCATTTCTTCCCTTGGTATTCGACGTATTCTTAATCGAATTTAAATTTCTACTTTTTTTTGTGTCTCGTTTATCGCAATTCTTCTTTTCCTTTAATTGGCCATTCGTTGTCGTAATAATCATAATAGGTTATTAGCAACTCGTATAAGATCGTCGGTCGAGTTTCGTAATGTTTAGAGTGGTTGATTTTAAAAATTCGAGTAACTGTAATGCCCGATTTGAATTTTTTAAACTATCCCTTATAGACAAAGAACTATAATACATGTATATATCACATATAATATCAAAGTGCGATCTACCAGCTGGAAATTTTGATAGTTAACCCGCTTAAACTATTCAATTAAAAAAGAACAAAGTCGATATCTCTAAGGGAGTAGTTCGTGACGCTTTAAACCGGCTTAGAACGAGCGACGTTGCAAGAACAGAGATACGTTCTTTCGTCTTACAAAGGAAGAATACATTCTACATATGTATTTTTTCGTTCTTCTAATTCGCCGCCGCTGCGGCATTTCTCGTCCGCGTCGCGTCTTGTTTGGATCACTTTGTATATCAAAGCTTCTCCGAACATTTCCCGATGATCGCGACAAACAAACGAGCGCCAAAGAAACTCAACCAGACAACGACTTCCTTCATGAATTGCGTGCATGAGTTAAGCAATTGAATCGCAAAGTGCGTTCACCAAACGATGCCATCCGCATTGCCCTCTTCACCGTATCTAACATCTTGCGAAAAAAAGTGAAACTCATCCAGGTTATTGGCTTCGGTTAAGCGTATATTATTTTTATTGCAACACTACGAGACTTATATCGGTTTGAATATCGTTAGTACAAAATGGCTGCTTCGAAACACGGCTCACACTTTCTTCCTTCGCTTTGCTTCGAAAAATTTCGCTCAGCGTGCTTCGCGTTTTCAAAGAAAGGAAAATTTAAACGTCGCCGAGAGACGACACGAAACCGTTGGCAAGGTTCGCGAACGTCACCAGAATTCGCGAACGATGCCAAACGTTTCGTTTTAGATGTAAAGAGGAGGCCTCGAGCGTCTAAAAAAAAAAAAAAAATTCTATTCGCGAGACGCCTGGCGTTCCTTTTGTCTATCTCCTTGCTGCTGGCAACAGGCCATTCGGATCGTGGAGAACGATAAAGGCACCGAGGTAAGAGTCGTCGATCGATTTTATTCAATTATGGATGAAGTTTACAGGATTATAGAAAATATTTATAATAAATAATAAATTGATCGGAAATTCTTTACTTCGCTTTACCTTTATAATATCTCAGATGTAGATATCGACAGATAAAGAATAAAATTATTTAGTCTCTATTGTTATTAATATTATCAATACTATTTGCTATTAACTATACTGACTAATTATAACCGATTGAAGATTTTTCATATGATAAACGTCATGCGTAGGTAATTTATCGGATGATCAAGTAATTGAGGATCGTAGTTGGCGAGATTATGTAAAGATCGAGTAAAAGAGGCTCGCTTTATTCTTCTTATCGATGTGTGCATGGGAATAATTTTGTAATATACGTATCATGGAAATCTTTCTCTCCCTAGAGCTAGATCCTGTTCGTCGATTAATATTAATATTCTGTCATATGTTTCGTATACTTCTTCTTTTACATTTGCTATTATTTCCTTACTTAAACAACCTATTTTTTTATCACTTTTTTCATATCTGCATCTCGGTAATCGTTTTTTCCTGGTAAAAGTACTGGGTATGCCGTAAAGTTCCATCGTTTCTTCGAATTATGTTTACGAGACACAGCTCTCGACTTTGTCCGAAAGCTTCGGTTTGAATTCTCATTCGACCTGATTTTTCTGTACAAGAGAAATGTAAAAGAATCTGTGTCATTACCCTATTCCTAAAAGTTTGATTCGACAGTAAACATATGAGTGGATAAGACGCATTTACGACACGTTGGATCTTTTACAAAGGTTAAAAGGAAATAACGTTACCGTTACAGCAGAAAACTTCTTTCTACTCTTCTGATTATCTTCTAACGTCAAAACGTAAAATTATTAAACCATCGAATGAAAATATCTTAATTTTCTGATTGGAATGCCGCTCTTCGAGAATTTCTGAACTGTATCATCGATTATTGCAACGGTGTCAAATAAAATTTGTTCGGTGGATTAAGAAGCTGATGAAATGGTAGAATAGGATTATAAAAAGCAATGGATTCGTACAAGAAATTAAATAAAAAAAATTTATGTTCTCATTCTGGAAATAAACGTTACATTTTCACCAATCCGATAATATCTTAATGTTTATAAAATGTTGGTCCGAATTTTTCGTTTTTATAGACTCAAGGTTTCGCTTTCTTAAGAAATAACGAGTGGCCATTCGGTGCTATATTTCTCGTCATACATTCTTATTACGATGTTAATGGAAACACCGATTACGAGCAGCTAGAATGTCATAATAACTAGAAGGTACGCGGCCGAACATACGCGTAACCTCCCGTAATCCAACCTATAATTGTTACACATGGCTACGTAAATGAGAAATAAATATGTCAGGGAAGAATATGCGTTAATGACGTCTGCGATTTCTCAACATACATGCGACAATGCCATATATTCGTTCTCTATCTTGTTTTCTTTTCTAGCTGCAAGGTGTCTCGATAACAAGGTGTTTCGCACGATCCGAACCGATGATTATTTAGTTTTTCTTCTCGCGAAGAAAGAAGACATAATCAGATGTTAGAAACGAGGGACTGGAATGAGCAATCCTTCGTTGAAACTAGTTGCTTGCCATCAAACGCATAGTTCATATTTTATATTCATACGAATTAATATTTTGTAGATGAGTTACATAGATTTCAGAACTTCCAACGGTGTTCAAGCGAGTTGCCATTAAAACGACATTATTATATTAAGATCACGTTATTAAGACACGCGAATCCGATTTCCAGGACATTTCGAGAAGCACTTTGTTCTTCATTTCGGATAAAAACATCCTCCTTTTTTTTATGCTATCTCTTAACGGTTCGAGTAGCTAACAATAAGGGTTGGTCAGTAGTCGCTTCTGATTTATTACGATAGAAAGGGGGGCAGAAAAACGAATGGGAGTTATTCTATTAATTTATCGCAGTTTGTTGTGCCGACGCGGAACCAAGAGACTTTGGATACTTCCATTTCGAAGATGAAATATGGATGAGAAATTTTATCGCTCTGACCGTCGCTGAACACAATGTACTCCCGTACTTCGTAAAAGCGTTGTCAGTCGAAAGGTTTTGAGAAAAGCACCATCAACGAAACAGTGTTCTGTATCTTTCGATCTGTTTACTTTTTGAAAAGAAAGAGAGAGAAAAAAGAAAGAGGAAAATGTATGAATTTCAAAGGAAACTATTTTTTACGCGAAAGAGAATCTATGAATGTTCGAGGATAAAATGGGAAGATTAAAACGACTTTTACAGTAACCATGCGTTGTATATCGAATGTCAGGCGAGCGTCGGCGAACATGGATGAAATCATTCTTTGAAAAGTTCAATGTACATGTAGTACATACCTGTCCAAGGAAACCGCAACAAGGCTGTAGACAGAGGCCGCCACGGAAACGCCTTGTATATAAGCGACGGCTTTACACATGAACCATCCCAGGAACCATGCTGAAACACAAGTTCACTGTTTATCGTTCGAAGTCAGACGATCGAGTAAAACTGCACTTTTCGTTGAAAATGACTTCCGTTCTTTTTGGAGAGAAAAGGAAAGAAAGCAAAAAGAAATGTGCGTCGCAAAGTTGTTCTTTCTGATAAAAGTGTGAATGGACATTGTAAAACTTTAAAATAATCATAATTTGTCGTTTGAAAGTTTTCAGATACAGGAAAGAATTCCTCGATTTTCAGTAACAATTTCTCTGTATATTAACCCTAGTTGAAATTATTCCAACTTTTCGAAAACGAATGATATATTTCGCTTTCAAAAGCATAGGATTCCTTCCTAATAGTCTTACTCTTGAAACAATATACCTCGTCTTATTCTTTCGTAGAGTAATTTTGCATCTTTGCGTGGTTTTGCGAAATATCGTTCTCAAAGTGAAAACACGTTTCAAAGTCTGCAGTGATTTATATGGATGTGCCGTTTGATGTTAATTGTCCGGGAAAACTGGTTTCAAAAACGTAAATGCAGAGCGGTTAAAACACTTGCATAATAACGAATAGTAGATATGCACTTACGTATGTATCCGCGTGTTGGATACAGCGCAATGTCGTATAGTAATTGCATGTCGTTTTAAAGCTTCTCGCAATTCCTTCTTATTTCGTTATCATGGCGGCAAAAACAGATTACTTTCGTTCTTGTAACTTTCTTATGAAATTTTTTTTTTCGTCACGCAAACTCTGCTCGCTCGCGAAGGAATCTAATTAAGAATTCTACTATCGGACGCCGCGTCGTTCTGATGGGCTTAATTAACAGTTGTTTCTATAATTTCATCCTTTACAATAATTATCGCAATAAACTGTATAAAAGGTTTTCTTCTGGAAGTCGTTTTCTTTGCGCGTGTTCTGCGTAATTAACTAATTGACAGAAAATTCATATTAAAATTAAAAGATGGTGTAGCGGGTTCGTTAAAAAGTTTATGCGTATATTATAAAGAGTGTTTAACGCGGATCAAGCCAAAGCTTCAAAAGGATAGAAGATAGAACAATTTCACAAAGATTAGAACAATTTAAACAAAATGAAATGGTTTCTTGGAAAGTGGAGGTATTTTTAAGATTTAAAAATGATCTTTTACGATGTTAGGGAAAGGAAGATGACAATAGAAATTGCGCGTCTTTGACGACGACGAAAAATACGGACGTCTGCGACTAACCGTAAGAGTTGCATACGCGATAATTTAAAAAGCTGCGTGTATTCAGAATTCTATTTAAACGGACAACGCATCCACTGTACCAACCTGGTACACTCGTGCAACCGTATCGGATGTCTCGTATCGAATAACATTTACCCTGTAAAACTCAGTGTACCATATCGCAAACTCCAATCGGAGCCATTGCATCAAGATGAATTCGAGTCACGGCGTATCGAACGCGTGCCGCTTTGATCGGATATTAATTGCAGGATGCGACAACGTCTTTCGTACGCCTTCGGGTTCGATGTCTGGATCCCTGATGGGTGATATTCGTGCGGCGTCCCATTTTTTCTTCGGCGGATGTCTGGTGGAGGAGCGTGAAATAAGCGAGAGATATACGAGCAACGTTCGAATGGGAGGACGTGAAACGTAGGAATAGGTGTCGTTATTCCGCAGACCTGGATTTTTAACGCAGGCGGCGTGCACGATTATCAGCTGGTTACGTGTTCGATGGAATAAATAATTATCTCGCGCAACGCTTGATCTACGGCCTACGGGAAGTTCCTTTCTCATGTATAAGGCCTCGCGCTTACCCTTCACTTCGCAACACAATACTTTCGGTGCTGGACTGCCGCTAAAAGGCCACACAATCGGCATCGACGTAGCTTGAAAGGACTTGCTATTCGAACCGTTTCGACGGGAAAAAGGAACTAGCTCTTTGCACGCCGATTTCCTCGCCGTGCGAATGACGTGCTGCTTCTCAGGGGAATTTCGTGCTGGCTGTCCGATGGAAGCTACGTTGACGCGTGAAAATATACGAGGAACACGAGAGAAACATCGTAGAGACGGTTTTCTGGAAATTGATTAGGGTGAAGATGAGGAGCTTTATGTGGCGTATAATAAATGTACGATAATGATTATACGTATGTATACAAGAAATATTTGTAGGTTTAGATATGTCTGCACATTGATTAAATGCATAAATTGGAAAATAGAAAAATGAAACGACGATATTTTCTATTCTTTATGTCACCTTCTTGCGATAAACAGATTTGTAGAAGCGAGTCGTTCGTTTGTTGAGAATCAAAGATCGGTCGTGTATTTACGTATGTAATGAAATTGACAAAAGCGAAGTTGATCAGCGTGGCTTCCGAAGTCCCAAATGTTGGAAAGAATACAAATTACGTTCGTTGTCTTTTATTTTTCCGGGAGCCGCGGGTGGATTCGTATGGGAGAAAGAAAACGCGAAAGTATACTTCGAAGAAAGAAAAGAAAGAAAGGAAAATGCAAAAGTATCAGAAAAGACGCCATGTTTTGCCTTTGTATGAAAGCCCATTATCGACGCAGGCTTGCGTACATATCGAAGATGTGGCAGTTCCGTGGAACGAATCTGTAATGTCACGTGCATGCGTCGCGGAATCGAGAACGAATCTGGCCTGAGAGTTTCGCGAAATCCATCGAAATTCGGGGCTTACTCGCTATCAATCGCATCCTGACAATCTGACGTGTTCCAACTTTTCCATTGAATAAATTTACCTCTTGTATGCAAGCGCACGAAACCTAAGGCCGAATCGTATCAAACTCGAAGAACTCCTACGTATTGTTTTCGTCTCGTTCGTGAATTTCAAACGGATGCTGCCTGTATCACGGGAGTAGAAATCGACGGGATGCAGCCACCGCTTTATCGTAATTAGACAGCGGATATTTGTGCAAGTATCTCATATTTTTATAGGTACAAAATATTGAGCAACAGCAATAAAGTAATATGATATCGAAGAGCTTATGTAATAAATAAATAAAGATGGATCAATTTATTCAAGCAGATACATATTTATAAATTTTACCAATTATTGGCTTAATTATCTGCTAAGAGATTGAAATGATATATTAATCGTTTCGACGTAACTCTATGACACTAAAAAAAATTAAGGCGCACATAAATAGAAACGTAAAACCAAAGTGGAGGATAAGAGGAAAGAAATTCGTAAATTATAAGATCGATTCAGAAGCAAGCATAATTTGCAACGTGAATAATTTTGTGAACATGTTCATGCGCGGCGAAAAAACGGGGCAGCTTTTTACGCATTCCTCGTGCGATTAACGCGAGATATTATCGGCTATTAACGATAAATGCTGGCTGGAGTAACGGGGCTAACTCCACAGCCACGGTCAGTTTACAAGATACAATCGGAGAGAAGGTTATTACAACACGCGTCTTAATTGCCACGCTGTTCGTTTCATATTATTATATAATAGTATCTTTTTGTTTCTACGTACACATATGCGCATATATACCGTGATTTGGCGAATTAAAACGACCAAATGTGATATTTGAACAAGACGCTGTAAGTAAAAATCGAGAGAAAACTGGTTTTAAGGAATCGATTGGTCTGAAAAAAGATTATAATTATGTATACGTGTAATTATACGACACGTACCTACTTATATGTAAATTATATGTAAATGTTTCGTTAGACGTTTTGTTAGACGTGTATCTAGGTAGGATAATTGAAGTGGGAGGACAAACTTCTAATTCTTGTTTTAAGAATAAATTAACTACTATTTAGGATACGATAATTAAAATATCCTCGAGTAATGTTTTATGTAAAAAAAAACCAGTCGCGGTCGCTTTCACCCTACGATCCGTTAGTTTCTATAAAGAGTCTATATAAAAATTTCGGCATGTAACAAATGAGATAAGAAGTAGAAAGAAAGCGATTCTGGAAGAATTATGAAAGAATCGATAAATAGAGAAATCATGCATGATACGCGAAGCGTTATGACTGCGAATATCTAAGAATCTCTTCTCCTTGAAACTGGAATTTTTGAAATCATAAAAAGCAATTGCAACTTTGAAAACAGGATCAATTCGGACAAATGTTTACTGGAATTTGTTTCGTTATTTCTCTGCATCGTATTCATCCTCGAGTTACGTGTTCGTATTTTATAAAACATTTTGCTCGTATGTTAAGATACACGGCGCGTATCGTAGCGTATATCATAGCTCGTTTCCATTGCGACTAATTTACGATTGTAAGATTCTGTTTCCGTTTCACTTGTGTTTGCTCTATTAATTGGTATTACGATCGTTGTTTAACAGAAACGTGTTGTCATAATGACATTTCGCAAAGTATCGCTTTACGAGTGATTTATGAAATGTTTTCGTGGCATTAACGATCTCTGATTCGTTCTGATAGTTTCAAATAATAAGATAATTACTATAGAGTATTTCACTTTGTTTCACGCGATATTTATTACGCTCTGAGGTATCAAAGCGTTTAATTAACTCGCTATACGAGATACTACGTTAGAATATTGAAATAACCACTGCATACTTTGGAATATCAAAATCAAACAATATAAAACATTTGCTGCGTTTTTGAATATTCAAATATTGGTTATGACTTAATTAATATGTAAAATTGTGTAGCATAGTGTGTAACGCATTCAGCTTTATGCTAACGTTTTATGAAACTGTCGGTAGCCTTAACATACTATTTTATTTTAGCTATTAAAACATTTTTAAATCGTCAAATCCTTCGCTTTTATGCGAATTAATATTCCTTTATATATTTTCGCTATGGTTATTAGAATAGTTTCCATTCTACGCATTCGTAAGAATCACGAAAGATCGATACGACGATCTATCGCGAGAAAGATTGCCAATTGCAAGAAATCAAATTATTGGTCATGAATTATTGGTCAATGAAAGTACTCGTTCGAGCATTCGATTTCACTCGTTTAAGCAGCCATCTGATGACTGATCAATTTTGCTGCCACGTTACCTGCTCCAAGGATGGATAGATAAATGAATTAGCA